ACTGTATCAGATACACAATAGCGAGCTTGTAAATTATCCATGCAGTTTTAAGTCTCATTTCTGTAAAACGTAAATAAATATGCTCAAAGCTGTATGAATAGGGAAGGCTTGCGGACAGAGAAACATGTCTGGATGCAAATCGTTTCTGATACGGTGATAAGGTGATTCGCTTCAGTGTAAATGTAGCCTAAAAGTCTTTGTTAAACCACTTCTTGTGCAAAGTCCATATGAAACACAAACATGTTAATCGTCAAAACAGTGAATATGTCAAATAAACGTGTTTCCTTCCATTAAACAAGCAATAAAACATAATTTAGTAAAATATACCAAAAAATACTCTTGGCGATATATCGATACAGCAGCCCACGATATCGATATTTTACGATCACAAACGACAAATGATACAATATGTTGATATTTAAATATTTTTGCACATCCCTATTCTGCAAAGGGATGATATTATTTTCTGATTTATGTTATGTTTTTTCCTTATCACAAACAGACCTTGAGTTGTGTTATGTTTCATTCACACATAAATGAATAATCATCTATTATTAGTCTGTTTACATCTCCAAAGCTCAAAACACTCTGATGTCATGTGGTAATACAGGAAAAGCTTCAGTATGTTTTTCAACTCTGTACACCTTCACCAGAAACCTGGAATTGCCACTTTCTACAGAACTAAAATGTAAAAGGTAGCTGTGAACTTAACGCCGTTTGAGCTTCGGGAATGAATACAGCCTGATAATGCAGGAGTAAGACAGATGGAACATGTGTGAATGCAACAAAACATAACTCCAGGTCTGTTTTTAAAGAGGTAACAACATTGTAAGGCTGTGCAATGAATCTAATTTTGATCGCAATTTCAATTTGTGTGTCAAATGATCTCCAAGCTCATTTAATAAACGATTTAAAGCTTAACATTTATTTCGGGATTTATTTTTTGGATTTTTAAAATATAACTAATAGGGATGTAACGATATCCAAATCTCACGGTACAATATTATCACAATATGCATCTCACAGTACGATATTTATTGCGATATTTTGAAGAGGCTGATATAATTGTAGATAGGACACGTTTCTGCTTTTAAACACCGTGACGAGATTTTGGTGTGAATTATTTCCATCATAATCCCAAGAATTCAAGTAAAAAACATATTTCTTCATGTTGTCTGCACTGAAATGAATCATGGGATATGTAGTTCCCGATGTTTATAAGCTGTTTGTACTATAAAACCATGCATTTAAGCAAAGGAAATTGTAATTCGATATACTGTGCCAACTCACGATATTATTGTGAGACTTTTGACGATATAATATCACGATATTTCGGTTACATCCCTAATAATTAAATATATTTATTTTATTTTTAAATATAAAGATTGTGAAACAGCTGGATATATAGTTTATTTTGGATACATTTATGTTTTTCTTTGCCTTATTTCATGCTCATTTTATGTTTTATACATCGTAAAACTGCTCTAAGGTTCATATTTGTAGCCTGAATTCATTTTCAATTTGAACGTTTTTTTAAGCGAGAAATGCTGAATAAATGCATTGTGTAACTAAAAAATAATCATCTGAATAATTGTGATTTCAGTATTAACCAAAATAACTGTGACAATGATTTTTTCCATAATCGAGCAGCCCTACAACATTCTAACAAGTCTAAAAGCTCACGTGCAGGTTTTCATGTGACAACTGTAAATGTCACCGTGAAAAAGCCACTGTGTTTCTAATTAGACATCAGTTACTCACCTTTTATTTAATTCCCTTAATTTATGACTTAGAAATGTTCCTTCCTTTCAGTTGTGACTAAAGGTGCATTCACAACTTCACACTTGCACCACATCAAAATGAAACTAAAGAAAAATGGAAAAAGAAAAATCAATCGATCCAAGTCTACATCACGACAAATTGGGCTCAAACCGGGACCAAACGAGGACAAGCGAACGCACCCGAACACACGGAGACGCACCATTCATGAAGGCTCAATTAGAATTGCTAAAGAAATGCATTCATATATGACCTTGCTGCAGACGGGAACACTGAGCTGAGCGCTGTCTAATATAACAGCAGAAGATCAGTCCAGTCCATAGGAACCCGATGACCTGAAGCTTAATACTACTGTCATTTTTTGCTGATACACGACTTATATACAAAACTTACTGCATATTCAAGATGCTTTATGTAATTTTCTGGTCAGGAATCTGCCATCTGCTTGTTAATTGGAGATGTTATTGCTTTGCCTAGAAATTTCCACCATATGGCATTAAACTTTTCTATCTCCGTGAATACAAGATGAAGAATACTAGGGCTGGGTATTAGGGATGGGAATGATTAGTCGATTAATCGATAATTGACCATTAAGAATTTCATCGATTACGTAAATTTTAATCGACAAACCTAATGTAGGTTGCTGTGCGTAGCGTGACCAAACAGGTCTGTACATGTAGCTCTCTGCACTCAGAAGGAGCAAACACAAACAGTCAGTCAGTCTGCAACGTACCGAAGTGCAAATGCGAAATTCCACACTTTCTGTTACAGTCGGGACAAGTGTGAGTCCATGTGCACAGTGCACAAAGCAGCACATATGTTTCGGTGTCCAGTAGGAAAAAGTTTTACCAGGTGAGAGAAGCGCAATGTCGATGACGAGTCCCCACCTCCCTCCCCCCGTACGGTGTCCTGGTTTTGACAAACACAAATCTGGTCACACTAACCTGTATTCCACTGAGTCAAGTCTTTTAATCCAACAGAAGTTGACCGCATCAGCGACACAAGAGCTGTAGTTTTTATCTTCGCTTAGTTTATGCAAATTAGCGATGCGGTTTTAAGTTTCGTTTCTGTGAGAGTTGCGCAAAACTGAATTAAACACGTTATAATGTCAAACGGGCTGATGTGGCTCTAGAGCCGTTACGGTTTATATGTCGTAAAGTTGAATTTATTTATGCAGATTAGTAGTGCAGATAGTAATAATAATGATGATCATTTTAATATAAAAAAATCGATTAATCGATAATCGATTGTTAATTCTCTCGACGATCGATTAAGAAAATTTCATCGAATGCCCATTACTACTGGGTATCATTAAGAAGTTGCCGATACGATACATACCTCGATACATAGGCCACGATACGATACATTTTTTGATACAGTGCACTTTTGATACGATACATTTCAAATCAATTCGATACGGTTCAGTGAAAAACAAAGGCTAAATCATGGCTGTGATACTAAAAGTCTACTAAGTCCACTGAGTTTGTGCAAAGTTAATATGGGGTCTGTCCATATGAAATCAGCTGCCCTCCCCGATGAGCCAAGTACAGATTTAGAACCTATGACCCAAAATCTACAATAATACAAATTTTCAGCTTCCTAGCTCTATTTTTTTTTAATAAGTTATGGTCTCTCAAACATGCTTATAAATTAAGGCTTCTGAAAAAGTGAGTATGGCCCCAAAATTTCAACTGGCCATAACTCAGGAACGACTCAAGGGACTGAGCTAAAATTTTAGATTCTTTCATTTGGTCATTTTAGAAATTTTTTGAATTTTTTTCAGCCAAATCTGAGATAGCTCATAATTAGATTCCTTGAAAGCAGCTGATTTCATGTGGACTGACCTTATGAAAAGCACCTGTTTTACTCGTCAGAACAGTAAAAACGTCAACACAATCATAGCTCTTACTCAAAATAATTTAGTAAAATATATCTAAAAATACTCTTGGTTATATATTGATACAGCAGCCCACGATATCAGTACTGTATTATCACCTTAAACTAAACGATATATCGGCTTTTCAATATTTTTGCACTCCCCTAAAGGATAGTCTACTAAAAAGTTGCATAGTGCTTCTTTAAAACTGCACAACATTCAGGAATCTATACTATTATTTTATGAAGCATATTTTTCTCAGCTGACAGTCATGATGTTGCTTTGCCTAGAATGTTCCATAGCACAGCATTAAACCTAACCTTATATTTATTCAATTACAGCTGTTAAAAAAACATTCATTCGTACAGTGAGTGGGGTCGCCTCTCCATAGATATAACCTGTCACTAGGAGTGTGCAAAAATATAAAAATATCGATATATCGTACATTTAATGTGATGATGCAGTATCGATATCATGGGCTGCTGTATTGATATATCACCAAGAGTATTTTTTGGGATATTTTACTTAATTATTTTGTTACAGCGCTACAGTTTTGTTGCTTGTTTAGTCAAAGGAAGCTCATTTATTTGAGATTTTCACTGTTTTGATGATTAAAATGTTTGTGTTTCATATTAACTTTGCACAAGAAGTGGTTTCACAAAGACTTTTAGTAACTGAATCGATTTGAAATATATCGTATCGAACCAAAAGTGCACTGCATCGAGATATGTATCGTATCGTGGCCTGTGTATCGACGTATGTATCGTATCGGCAACTTCTTAATGACACCCAGTCCTACCTGTAACATGACCTGGCGCTCTTATTCAAGGAGATGGATAAGTTTAATGCCATACTGTGGAACATCCAAAGCAAAAACAGCAGTGATGAGTCAGAAAAGTTACACTGTACGTCTTTAAAAATGTGTTTTGCTTTTTTTTTTCCTGATTGGAGCTTGCCCTTTTAATCCACTCCACTTCTATTTGAGAATTTGGCATCATTGAAATCACACCTCTAATCACTTAACCAAGAGTCTATATTTAACCTAATTGTGACGCTTCCCATTCCTTGTCATCGGTATGCCATCGCTAAATAGTGCGCTCTGCCCTGTCAGAAGTGCCCCGAAACGTCCCCAAATACGGTCCAATTTACAGTTCGCAATGGTCTCCACGTGATTACACCGTGGCAATTAACAGCACGTTTGATTGGAGAAACTGCGCGCCGGAACAGCGACAGCGTGACGCCAAAAAATCACATCAAAAGAACTGCCAGCGATGTGGGAAAAATGTGCATTATTAATAGACAAAAAGACGTGCGTAATTATCGGCGCACGAATTGGAGCACTTACCGATAGTGGAAATATGAGACGGGTGAAATTCATTGTCCGTAAACCTGCATAACAAACACGTTTTCCCCACGCCAGAATCTCCCAGGAGCAGGAGTCGGAAGAGCACGTCGTATTGTTTAGCCATTTTGATTTGTAAAAAGGTTGCACTGTGTTGGATTTAGCCTTGAGGAGCTAACTGTGCACAGATGAATGAGCGATGGCTGACCGCTCGCATCCCATGTCTGCTGCTGCTGCTGCTGCTGCCTGCCGCTGGTCACCGGAGCGCAGTGCTGGAGCAAACAGGGATGCTCCTCCGCGCACACGGCCGGTGGGTGCGGCGTGGACCACGGTCAAGGAGGAGAGAGTGAGGACGCGTGAAGATCCGGGGAAGGAATTCAAAGTAAAAGCTCAATAATAATAATAATAATAATAATAATAATAATAATAATAATAATAATAATAGTAATGGCATGAGGTTAACAGAGAAATGCAAGAAAACATATTCGCCACTGCTCTTTTGTTGATCATTTCTAAGTGCACGGGTGGTTAACCTATCCTAAAATTGGCTAAAGTAAAGGTACACGATGTAGGTTAACATTCGACATCATTGCTTTGCCTGGAATGTTCCACAGTATGGCATTAAACGTAGTGACACAATCCAGAGGAAAGTCAACATATGTACTTTTACCTGATTTATGACAGGATATATATAAAATGTGTTTCTCACCTTCCACGGTGGTAGGTCTCTCACCCTCATTCAGCTCAGGTCCTCTACCAGAGGCCTGGGAGCTTGAGAGTTCTGCGCAGTATCTTTGCTGTTCCCAGTACTGCACTTTTCTGGACTGAGATGTCCATTGTTTTTCCCGGTATCTGTTGAAGCCACTCTTCCAATTTGGGGGTTACAGCCCCGAGTGCTCCGATCACCACAGGCACCACTGATGCCTTTACTTTCCAGGCTCTCTCCAGCTCTTCCTTGAGCCCCTGGTATTTCTCTAGCTTCTCGTGTTCCTTTTTCCTGATATTACCATCGCTTGGTATTGCGATGTCCACCACCACGGCTCTGCTCTGTTTCTTATCCACCACCACTATGTCTGGTTGGTTCACCATCACCATTCTGTCACTCTGTCAGTCTGTATCTGGAAGTCCCACAGGATCTTGGCTCGGTCATTCTCCACAACCTTTGGAGGTGTTTCCCACCTTGATCCTGGGGTCTCCAGCCCGTACTCTGCACAGATGTTTCTGTACACTATGCCCGCCACTTGGTTATGTCGCTCCATGTATGCTTTCCCTGCCAGCATCTTACACCCTGCAGTTATGTGCTGGACTGTCTCAGGAGCCTCTTTGCACAGTCTACACCGTGGGTCTTGTCTGGTGTGGTAGATCTGGGCCTCTATTGCTCGAGTGCCCAGGGCCTGCTCCTGAGCAGCCAGGATCAGTGCCTCTGTGCTGTCCTTCAGACCAGCCCTCTCAAGCCATTGGTAGGATTTCTTGATATCAGCCACTTCAGTTATGTTCCGGTGGTACGCCCCATGTAGGGGTTTGTCCTGCCATGATGGTCCCTCCAGCACCTCTTCCTCTGGACCCCACTGTCTGAGACATTCTCTGAGCACCTCATCTGCCGGGGCCTTGTCCTTGATGTACTCAAGGAGCTTGGATGTTTCATCCTGGACAGTGGTTCCCACACTCACTAGTCCTCGGCCCCCTTCCTTCCGGCCTGCGTACAGTCTCAGGGTGCTGGATTTGGGATGGAACCCTCCATGCATGGTCAGGAGCTTTCGTGTCTTAACATCTGTGGTCTGTATCTCCTCCTTTGGCCAGCTTACAATCCCTGCAGGGTATCTGATCACTGGCAGGGCGTAGCTGTTGATTGCCTGCACCTTGTTCTTGCCATTGAGCTGGCTTCTAAGGACTTGCCTCACTCTTTGCAGGTATTTGGCCGTAGCCGCTTTCCTTGTTGCCTCTTCAAGGTTGCCATTTGCTTGTGGGATACCAAGGTACTTGTAACTGTCCTCAACGTCTGCTATTGTTCCCTCTGGGAGTGACACCCCCTCTGTGTGGACTACCTTCCCTCTCTTTGTCACCATCCTGCTACATTTCTCAAGCCCGAATGACATCCCAATGTCTGTACTGTAGATCCTTGTGGTGTGGATCAGTGAGTCGATGTCTCGCTCACTCTTAGCGTACAGCTTGATGTCATCCATGTAGAGGAGGTGACTGATGGTGGCCCCGTTTCTGAGTCGGTATCCATAGCCAGTGCGGTCGATTATTTGCCTGAGGGGGTTCAGGCCTATGCAGAACAGTAGTGGGGACAGTGAGTCTCCTTGGTATATGCCACATTTGATGGACACATGTGCAAGTGGCTTCCCATTGGCTTCAAGGGTGGTTTTCCACAACCGCATCGAATTCGCAATGAACGCCCTTAGAGTCCTGTTGATATTGTACAGCTTCAAGCACTCAGTGATCCATGTGTGTGGCATTGAGTCATAGGCTTTCTTGTAATCAATCCAGGCAGTGCACAGGTTGGTCTTACGGGTTCTGCAGTCGCGGGCGACTGTTCGGTCAACCAGGAGTTGGTGTTTGGCTCCCCTGGTGTTTTTGCTGATACCCTTCTGTGCTGCGCTTATGTATTGATCCATGTGCCACTTATCTTAGCCGCAATGATGCCTGACATGAGCTTCCATGTTGTGGAGAGACAGATTATTGGTCAATAGTTGGATGGGACTGCACCCTTTGAGGGATCCTTTAGGATCAGGATCGTACGCCCTTGGGTTAACCATTCAGGGTGAGTCCCATCCCTTAGCAGCTGGTTCATTTGTGCTGCCAGGCGCTCGTGGAGGGCAGTGAGCTTCTTTAGCCAGTACGCATGGATCATGTCAGGGCCCGGTGCGGTCCAGTTTTTCATACCTGAGACTGGCAGCTGGTTAGCTCAATTGGTAAGTCACTGGACTTTCACATGGGAGACCCGGGTTCAAATCCCCCCTCTGACGGGGTGGGGGGGAGGCAATGAGCTAACCAGTATGGGTCCTTGGGCAAGACCCTTCGTGCTACTGCGCACCTCATACAATGATGAGAGAGAAAGAAACGTATGACATGCCGGCTCAGACGTCGCCCGGCCAAACAAGGTCTGCATCAGGTGCTGGGGAACCAGGGCACCTTGATGAAAAATGGGCTACTGGAACACGGAGAAATGGGCGAGATATATATATTGTGGATATATATATATATTTTTAGAACTTTTAGAACCGTCAATGTAGCTGATTTTAGATAACTATAGCCTAATTGGTTTAAGTTAAAATGAAATTAATTAATGATAGCATAAGCTATCAATTTTCATCATGAAATAGGCACTATGCAGCTTTTAAATTGAAGGAGTTTTTGTTTTGATGTTTTTTGTTTTTTGTTTTTGTCTACATCATTCAACAGTGTGCAATTTTGTGAGATCAGGGAGTACAGGGGCAGTCATGGATTTGTTCCATGAATAAAATAAAATATGCAATATATTATTATTATTAATATTATTATTATTATTATTATTATTATTATTATGTTTAACCTATACTCTAGAATATGTTCAAGAGAACATATTCCAACATATTGAATGTTGTTTTTTTTTTTTTTTTAACCTATACTCTGACACATGTTCAAGAGAAACAGGTGGACCTTCACCCTTGACTCACATTGTCCACAGCCTATATCGACTCTTTAAATGTGCAGTCATGTGTAAAAAAACAAATATTGTGCATAATTAATCAAATAATGCGTGTGTGTTTGTATGTGTTCAGTTCAATTCAATTTCTAAAACGTGGAGACGGTGCGATTGGCTTTTATTTTGAAGGGCCAACGTAATTCCTATAGAGTTGTATACAGCTTGACAAAGGTGTCTCTGAAATGCGCTTATATTTTTTTGAACTTATTTTTTAATTGATTGATTTAGTTATATTATATTTTAGCAGTCAATAAAAATTAATTTAAAAAGCTGTAGTTTTTGTAAAAGTGTTTTTCTGTTAACCTCCTTTGTTCCCTTGGAGACGCCGTAGACCACGCCCCCTCCAACCTCAGCCGGAAGCGAGCGGACGGACTGGAGAAGTGTGCGCAGCAGAGGACCAAAACAAACCCGAGCACCTCGCCTCTCCTCCGGGATCCCCGCTGCCCACCGCACCGCTGTCATCATGGAAGCCGGAGCCACCCCACTCCGGTGCTTCAGGGACTGTCACCCCGAGGAGAAGTTTGTGGACGACGGCGTGGAGACGGTGACTTCTGTGGAGCAGGTGAGCCGAGATTAGCTCCCTCAGGGCTAGGTGGCTAATGCTAAAGCTATCTCCCTTCAACTCCTGAATGGGGAGCAGCGCTTGATCAGATTTACCAGGCAAAGGACCAAAAACAGCGTGAGATCTTTGTCAACAAACGCGCAAATTAACTCCAATCTTCCATCCGTGGAGTTTGATCTACCACTGTTGTCATATCTGGGTGATTAGGCTGCTGGCCCCTAATGGGATTAAGTTTAATGAACTTAGCCAGACAAGTTAAAAGGTTAAGACTATTCACCACAAAGCCATTGTTAATTTACTGCAGCACGTTAGAGACGCTCCAAGGTCATTTTGAGTTGGCACGATCATCTCCATCACTAAGTTCACTGGAAGTGCTGTGATTTCCTCCTCTTTGGACAGGCACTAGGAGAGAGGCTTGTCCAAAAAGACTCAAGAGTTTCAGGATCATTACTTCAGGACAATAGTAGGTAACAAAAATTAGAAGCTATAAAAACTGAACTATAAGAACTGAAAATTTATTTATTTTTTTCTCTTTTTTTTATTTCTATGTGTGGATATTATTGTAGCAATGTAAAATAATAGTCTTTATGTAGCTGTTGATTATTGCATATACAATTTATCATTTACTGTATGATAATGCAATATATTATTTATGGAAACATCTGAAATAAACTTATCATTATCATTAAAACAATTGATAGGTACAAGGCAATGCAATTTGAATTACGTGTATGTTTAAAAAAAATCTATAGTTGTAGTTGTATAGTTGTAGGTATAAGAACAAACTTAATAACATAGTCTATAGCTGTATTTATGAATTAAAAACTAGGCTTTAAATATACAGGAAAAAACAATTATTTGCGAGTTTGCTTCCCATACATTCTGCTTAGACTAACGGCACAGGTAGTTATAATTTGAAACGTGTATTTATTAAAATTTTTTTGAGTAAAATGCGATGTAGTGTTTCTATTTCATCTTTAAATATTTTTTTTAACAATACAGTTACTTTTATTTAATATCTTGAATGTTAAACAAGCAAAAAGGATCATTTGGAATAATATATATCTATTGTTCATCTTGTTTTTATTCTATGGGAGAGAAAATTGGATTATGGGGAGTCTCGATAGATACTTAATGAGAAAACACAGCTGGTTATTTATGTCACTTACGAATACTCTATAACTTGTCACTTACAAATTGATGCTCTATAATATAAAATCCAGCTCCAGCAGCAAAGATCTCAATAATGGAGAATTAAAACATTTTACAGTACATCTCAGTTACATAAAAGACTTTTTTGGCCTATTGAATTTTTAAACAAAGCAACATTTTCTGTGAAACAAATGAGTCAGCCTTCCCAAATATCACTCGGAACAGTACGGTGGCTTTTTGGCTCAAGAGACAATACAAGTTTTGTCTGCCTACCGGAATAGCAGCCAGTTGAACATGGTGCTTGTCATTCATGCCAACTTTGCGCAGTTTCTAGCTTTTAAGATGACAATTTTATTATAATGAATCAAGTTTGTTGTATGAGTCAGTTTTATGATTGTACAGTACATTATGAGTTTTTAAAATGTCTGATACAGATTTGAATACCAGCAATTACCAAATAATTATGTATTTTTAATCCAGTTTATTCATTTTTTGTCATAATTTTCTTTTGTCTATAGAAAAAAGTGGAACGCAGCATCGAAGAAGTCATCAATGTTTACAAACAGATTCACAATTTACCCGAGTAAGTACTGTTTTAATATTTCTAATGATTATTTTCATAATGTGGGTAATATAAAAAGCAATTTTAGTTTGTTAGTTAGTATAATATTACAATAATTACAAAAGAATGGACTTGATAATAAAAAAACACTCAACATTACATCATAGTACTTTCTTTTATATTACCACGTGGCCTTATATTTGTGTAATCCCTCGTTCAGGTCGTCTACTAGTCGATGTGATCTTGTATCTCGTTTCGATATTAGTTTTAATCTCAATTAGTATCAGATTTTTGTTCATTTTGAGCCCATTTTAGCTCCAGTTGAAGTGTTATTATCAAATTATTCATCATCCCAATGTCTACTGATTGTTGAAACAAGCACACATTTTCCCCCAGACGTTTATTTATTTATATTAAAAAAGGAAATTGATATCTTGAACAACAAAACAGAACTAGTTTCATTTACATCATTATTATGCACAGGATTTGTACATTCAAAGGTGAGTTGCATCTCACCCAATAGGAAACATCTTCACTTGATTCCGGCTTTCCTAAACAAAACTGGGGATGAGACTTTGGATATGTAAACCAGCCCTTCCCGTCTCTCTCTTTTGCTTAAATACACAAGCTGAGGATACACTTTAAATATCACAGTTCAGAAGGAATTCATCAGAGGCCCTATGATTTTGTTGCCTTTTCCAATACTTGACGAGATTATTCATATTTATTTATCAGTCTTTGTGGGTGGTAATTGTCTTTTTTAATATCGCATAAATGTAAATGTATTTAAATCTGGTGACGCAAATTATGTTCCTCAAATTGTGCTCTTACATTACCAGAGCTGAATTTATAAAAAAAAAAAAAAATCAATATCAACAAACTAATCAATACTAAAACTAGAATTGAATCCAGATAAACATTTGCACAAGTATTGATTTTGAATCTGGGCCTATTGCTAGTAAATACTAACAAATAATGAATAATAAATAATATAAATAGTAGATACTAAAACCACATAGCAGTAAAAAAAGTGTATATTTTGCGTTGAAATTTTGAGTCAATTATTTTTTTTGTTTGATTAGGTCAGGTTGCTTTATTCGTACCCGTAGGTAAATTTGTCTTGCAGATTTGAGAGGCAGGTCTCACATTTATCTCATTTATCTCATTGTGGAATAGAAATTTATACTGCATATCAAGTTCTTTCCCTTTTATCATAATCAAGTTTGAAAGTTTAGTATTGTGAAGCAAATTCCAATACACTGTGTCAAAGTTGTTCTGCAAAACAGGATTTTCAGACTTTACATTCACTGTTTTTTTATTTGATTCATAGTCCATAGTAGGGGCGTGCAAAAATATTTAAATATCGATATATCGTATCGTTTAATGTGATGGTACAGTATCGATATCATGGGCTGCTGTGTCGATATATCACCAAGAGTAGTTTTTAGGTTATTTTACTAAATTATTTTGTTACAGTGCTACAGTTTTGTTGCTTGTTTAGAGGAAGGAAACTCTATTTTTACTGTTTTGATGATTAAAATGTTTGTGTTTCATATGAACTTTGCACAAGAAGTGGTTTAACAAAGACTTTTAGTATCACAGCCGCCATTTTGCCTTTATTTTTACTGAACAGTATTGAATCGATTTGGAATATATCGTATTGAATCAAAAGCTCACTGTATCGAGATATGTATCGTATCGACAACTTCTTAATGATACCCAGCTCTAGTCCATAGTACTGCGTCTTGTCAAAAAAAGTCTGTTTGTATGAAAAAAAATGTGCACATGTTGGAAAGAAATATTCAGGAAAGGTTCATTTCTGCCTTGTGAATGTGACTTTTAAAAGTATCGATACCTGCTCAAATGAATATCTAGTTTCAACACTCACTTTAGTATCTGATTTCCGATAATTTTGACAGCCCCTGATAACACGTCAGATATATTCACGCAGTTGTGACCTTTAATTACGGAGTCTATCCATTACGCCTCGGTACACCAGTCCTCACTTTTCCCCTGCAGTCTTGCCTGTGTACTATTCTACCCTCCTGTTATCTAAACTCCGCGTCGATCGGCCCACGTACGCCGCCGCTGCTGCCGTCGCCATCAGCTGTCAACACCACTGCTCCACTAATAGTCTGACTCATCCCATTTCTATGACAACCGGTCAGGCCCTGAATGTCACCAGAGCCAGCGGGGATGTTTGCTTACCACCTCCTCTGTGATAATTGCGCCGCGTCGTGTGTTTAGTAGTAGATCAGCGCGGCTCTACAGAGAATACATCTTTTGTGCGTTTCAAGGTAAATTGTGGTACTTTTGCGGGTTCTGAGTATGCTTCTCCGTGGGGTCATTATGAGCTGTTTACCGCGGTTATTAAATATCTTTTTCATAGCGCAGGGGTTACGTAACATGCAACACAAAATGGAAATGATGTGAAAATGGAAAATGTTAGAGCAATTAAGTTATACAATGAGTCTGGTGGTTTTGTTTGTATGCATTGAACAAAATAGTGAGGATAAAGGTCCAAAGTTTATGCAGGTCATATTAAGTTTGGGTAGTTTTAGGTTGAGTAGTAAGAAAAAACATAGGATGAAATAGAAAGTTTGTATGTAATTGTTGTTATGTTATGATTATGTCCTGAAAATTGTGGTCACGAAGCGATTAGTGATGTCCTGGGTTCAACTCTTCGGGTTTTTCTGTGTTTGCCTGTTCCCCCCCAACCCTATGATCACCTGACCTAAAATTATAATATAGTGACTAGCATGCTAACAGCGCTCTTGCTCTACTTAATGGTTTGCGGATGATAAAAATATTTATTAGATGCTAACAGCACACAGCGGTCTCGTTTTGACTCCAAGAGCTGCTTATTCATACAAATGTTACTTAATTACATATTTTAATTGATATTGTTTATTGTTTATTTATTTCATTCATAAAGTATAAAAAGATGTTAACAGTGTCACAATATTAAACATACAAAAAATGAATGAAAAGGAGCAGTATTTACTCAATTACAGGCATTTTTATTTCTCAAAACTACTATGAGCGGGCCCACTTCCCTACAGACCTGACCTGTAACTTTGCCTGGTGATGTGGCCTGCTTGTCTCCATGGAGATAGTTAAAGTAAATGCTATATTGTAAAAAAAACAAAAAAAAACAATATCACCTGTGGTACATGGAGTCAAACAGATACATAAACGTGCTGTACCTGATTTTTACCATGACAAACAGAATGACTTAATTTTAAAACGGTTTGCAACAACACTTGGCATGCTAATGTGCACTTCCTGATCATCTGACAATACATTTCTTTCCAATTAGTTGCAGACAACACTAGGGGTGTGCAAAAATATCGAAATATCTATATATCTTATTGTTTAGTATCGATATCGTGGGCTACTGTATCGATATATCGCCAAGAGTATTTTTTTGGTACATTTTCTTAAATTTTTTGTTACATTGCTACAGTTTTGTTGCTTGTTTAGAGAAAGGAGGCTCGTTTATTTGACATATTCACTGTTTTTATGATTAAAATGTTTGTGTTTCATATTCACTTTGCACAAGAAGTGGTTTAACAAACACTTTTAGTTTCACAGCCATGATTTAGCCTTTATTTTTTTATTGAACCGTATCGAATCGATTTGAAATATATCGAATCGAAAGCTCACTGTATCGAGATATGTATCGTATCATATCCTATGTATCGAGGTATGTATCGTATCGGCAACTTCTTAATGATACCCAGCCCTAGACAGCTTATAATAAAGACACATTTAGTTCAAATACATGTAAAAAAAAAAAAAAAAAAAAATATATATATATATATATATATATATATATATATATATATATATATATATATATATATATATATATATATATATATATATAAAATTAAAGACGTACTGTAAAAATAATGTTATGCTCCAACACTTTCTAACTCACACTCACACACCATTATGATATTTAAATTGAGTTATCTCGGAAACATTTACATATATTTGCGTTTCCTCTCCTCCATATGGTTAAACAGACCGCAGCCCGTGGAGGAGGTGTGATGCGCCGCAGTGGAGTAATGCTCTGGTCTTCCCTCTCCGTGTCTTTGTGAGGCTCAGGGCAGTGATCCGTGACTAACCCGCGCTGGTAAAGTGTAATTACTGGTCTAGGACTGAGGAGGACAAGCCCTGAATGGGAGGGGGTGAGGGGTCAGCAGGCTTTGAGAAAATACGATCAAGGAGTGCAAGAGAGCGCATTGGTTGAGCTAAGAGTCTGTTGTGGTATTTTGTTGTTTGATTGTAAAGAATAAGTCACGATATTCTAGCTTCCTTGTAGTTTAAAACTGAGCTGGAGCACAGGGCAGAATTTTGTGTCTTCTCTGTTAAATAAACAAAACACATTACCTTCAAAAATGTAAGTTTATACATCCACCAACTCCTTTTTGAACATGTATAAATTCCTTGAAGAGTCATGAATCCTCATTATTGGTTGGTTTATTATACTTTTTGTTATGTATTAATACTGTTGATACATTTTTTTGACTTAGACAAATTTTATTGATCCACAAGGGAAATTATTTGGACACAGTAGCTCACACATCACAGTAAATATAATAAAAAAGAGCAGAAATATAAATGGTAATAATAAATTCAAAATAAGTAGCAAAAAAGAGCAAGAGATAGGTGTCAAATAAGACATAATTATATAAATATAAATGTACAAGTCAAAATAAATAGTAAATAAATAATTTCTATACATGTTCAAAAATAAATGTTTGAACTAAATAACAAAAGCGGTGCCGTTACACACTGTTACACTGTTGATAGGTCCAGCTATTCCAAGATATTTACCACAAACAAAGACATAATTTCTCTAATACTGTGAGCGATATTGACAAAAATGTATATAGATATTTTTGATATTCAGAAAATATTTTCACAAGAATATGCGAAAATGTGGTTCAAGTATTGCAGAAAACATGAACTGACCACAGAATTAACCTCAAAAGGGCAGAAATATGACTTTGTATCTTGGGAAATTACACTAGAAGAATCTGTTTCCTTTTGAGGTAATTTTTTAAAGCTCATACTACTAGAGATGTATATCCAAATCTCACGGTACGATATTTATTGCGATATTTTGAAAAGGCTAATATAAATGTAGATGGGACACTTTTTAACTTTTAAAATACCTTGACAAGATTTTGGTGTGAATTATTTCCATCATAATCCCAAGAATTGAAGTAAAAAACATGTTTCTTCATGTTGTCTGCACTGAAATGAATCATGGGATATGTAGTTCCCGATGTTTATAAGCTGTTGCTGCTATAAAACCATGCATTTAAGCAAAGGAACTTGTAATTCGATATATTGTGACAGCCCACAATATTATTTTGAGACTTTTGACGATACAATATCACGATATTTTGGTTATTGTTTCACCCCTTACATACTACACCTTGTTCTGATCTGTGTTATAATGTTGTTTCCTCATGAAAAACATACCAGGAGTTGCATTTTGTTTCATTTACAAACGTTTAACACACAAACATTGCGTATTTAGGCCGAGTTCTCGTCTCTAGGATTACTCAAAACATGTGTGAATGAAACAAAACACAACTCCAGGACAGTTTTTGAGGAAATATCAACATTACAAACACAATGACAACCTCGTATGTTTGAAACAGCGAAAATAATGTAACCTTAGCGTATTTGCTCCTACATGAACTTTTAGCAAATTCTATCACTTTAGGTTTATATGGTGAGCATAACTTATATTTGTACGTAGTTTTAAATGAATTAATTTTAAATGTCGTTGGGATGATGACTCATCCAGGGAGTAATAGGGAGCAATAATATTTTATGACATAATAAAAATAAAGGCTCAGTCAACAAATTGGAATTGAAGTGAAGTGGAAAAGGCAATTTATTTTAACTGTTTAATTTAAAACCTGAATCCTATACATGGCAGATTGAGCCTTTTTACTCAAATTGTGCTAATTATAATGAAAAACTCCAATGAAATGTAAATATTTAACATAAGTGGTCCTGTATTAAAGTCCTATTTTACGCAGAGTTGTTTTGTTTCATGTTTTTGTTTGCTTTTTTATCTTTAGTTCAGTAGAGTTTGGCAATTCCAAGGTTGAAATTATGCAAAAGCATAAAATGGGGCCATTTAAATTGAAATATTGCCTTGGCTTTGCTAATGTATTTCTGTGTGTTCTGTCTCTCCTCCAGGCCCACCTTATTGCGAGAGCAGCACTACCAGTATCTGAAGAAGGGCTTACGGCACCTATCGGACGCTTATGAGGTAATGTATCTGTGACCTGCTGGAGAAATCTGCACAGACTACACCGAGACTACATACAGTAGGTCTAAAACTGACCTAAAACCAGGACTAAATCAGGATCAAAACAGGAATACATTGAGATAAACCAGGAACACTTTAGCTGAAGGACACCGTAGTAATACTAACTAACAGTAAAAGGCATAATTGATAGAAATAGACCATCTGGCCGATAGTTGGACTTTTTACTGTATTAGCTACTGGTCTTAAATCTTCAGCACAGGCCGATATTTTGTTTCAAGCTGGGCGTACACTATGCGAGTTTTGGCCCTTTTTGAGCAGATTTTTCACTCGTGCGACTGTTTTTGGGATTGTGCAGAGTTTTGGCTTAATCATGTGTCGTGCTTCGTGCTAGTGTACACGGGGTAACGAGAGCCGATTAATGTCACAGAACCATCTCCTGGTCGGCAGTCGTAGGTCGGAAGACTGTCAAACCTGTCTGAAATTTTGCGCTGCTGAAGTAGTTCCACGAGCTCTGAACTTTTAAACCCAACCATTTGGTCGTACAGTGAAACGATCGAAAATATCGCACAGTGTATGTCTGACATTAGTCTATCTGCTGCCGAAAAATACGCACAAAGCTTTATATTAACACTTTAATATGAAGAGACAGCTGCAGAAAATGTGACTACGCAGCTCTTGTAAAGTTGTATGGTAAAAAAAACAGCTGTGGGTAAATTTGTAGTAAATTTAAATTACATAGCCTAGGGAAAAGAAGCAATATCGGCTTAAAAATATCAGCAGACCACACCAGCCGACGGTTGCTTTGTATTCTGTTTTCATATAAACAAACAATAAACCCATATCAATCACTCTCAAATAATTACTGCTTTTTTCAGCCAGTATTCATTATATTAATAATTCATTAACATTACTAGCACTTTGTAAATACACTATAATCTTAATAAGCGTTAATGTGTGTTTTCTAAATGCTACCTAATAGATGTATAAGCACTAATTAGCGTACAAATTGCCACTTAGTTAGTGATTAATATGTGGTCCCTACAATAAAGTATTACCATTTTGAATACACTGATCCTGATCCTAAGCTTAAAAAAGACATAAAAACTGTCTGAACTGTACTAGGATAAACCCATGTCTAAATACCAGTAGGAGAACAGAAGTAGAATATTGAAGCGCTTCAGGATTCAGAATGTAATTATGTTGTACTCCCAGATGGGGGCAAGAGCCAGTTTTTCCTGTTCATTACATCATACTTTCCTGTGAACTTGAAATTAATCGCTCCCATCCGTATTAAGGGGTCTGCCAAGATTTTTTTTTGTCATATACTTGAGCAAAAATGTGTCTTGCCCCAGTTCAGATATATTTTATAAGCTGCTCTTGAGCTCAGAACACGTCTGCTGGCTGCTGTCCTTATCTAATTAGAAAGCAGGAATTGCACATTAGCTTGCTAGTCGCTAGTTCTGCTGTCATGTAGGGATGGGACAAGATCTCGTGCCACAAGATCTTGCGAGACAAAATTGCTACAAGATTGTGCGCACAAGATCACAAAAAATATCTTGTGAGATTTGTGATGGAAATTTATTTGTGGAAAGATTTCTCTCAATCTGTTTTTGTGTGAATGAATGTGATTTCTACCTGAGCACAGATCAGTCATTAACATGTGTAAAAGCTCAGCAGACTCAACTGTCCTCAAATGTAAGTTGAGTTGATTAACACCGGCCTGTAAAACAAAAGTCACTCTACTTTGATATGTATGTGACTTGTATTTATGTATAAATACTCAGAACTCAAATGCTCTGGGGCAGAAACTCAGGAAGTGAGATGCTCTGGGGGCAGGAGAGTCAGAGGTCAGATGCTCTGGGGGGAGAGGCTCTTGGTCTGTGGCCAGATCAGGCCTAGGTCTTGTCCATATCTGCTGTAACAAGAATAAACCTTGGTCTGTATTCCAAAAACTCACTGGGCTTTGCAAATGGAATCAGTTTTTCTTCAAGAGCTACATAATTTTTTCCACAACAGATTCAGAGTAGCCGCGGGGTCTTAAAAGCTTTAAAAAGGTCTTAAATTTCATGTTCCTAAATTAAGGTCTTAAAAAGTCTTAAATTTTGTTGTCCAAGTCTTATTTTTTTCACAAAGGTCTTAAATTTCATTAGCCTATTTTTTTTTTTTAATGTAAACTCAACCAGGCTGCAGTGCAATGTTAAACGGAGGAAAAAAAAAAAAAAACATCAACGTGAAATCATGTAATGTGAATGAACATCTAATTTGGAGTATGTGCACACAATACTTTGGTTTCTGGCGCCGACGGCAATGACTAAACCATCAGTAAAGTGGAGGAAGACTTTGGATGGATCATGGGGAAGTGTCCGTTTAATCCACAGTGGCTCTTAAATTCTAGATTTAGTAGTTGGTTGGTCAATATTAGACTTGGATCTGGTGTTTTTCTCCTGCATAATGGGTGCGATGTTGGTCTTAATTTTCATTTAAGGGGTCTTAAAAAGCTTTTTAAAAAGTCTTAAATTAGAGGTAGTCAAACCTGGGGATACCCTGAGATTTTTTCTTCTGAATATACCTTTGGTTTTGAAAAAAAGAGTTAAAAGCTGGTGAGTTGTACAATTTGAGAAGCTGTAGTTCCAAAAAGCAGTAGTGCAATGACCGTTAAAGTATTATATAAAATAAAAAAAAAAAGTGAAGCCAAAACTGTGAAATGGATAGCACTAAATATATATTACAAATTATGTCGAAAGCTTGCCTTGTCTCGTTCTTCTGGACCTAATCTCGTCTACTCGTGAAACTTATGTCTCGTCACACGCTTTCTGTCACGGCAAAACTCCGCTTTGGTGTCTGAGATTTGTGAAAAGTACTTATAAACTCATCACGGTGAATAATTTGGATGCTCAGAATGCATAAGGTAAGTGAAGAATAACTTTGGACCACTGCAAACTGTTATCAACTCTTAGACCGAAACTGCTGATGAGCCCCAGAGCAGCCCAAAGTCCACAGTTTGCAAACCTCTTCCCTCATTAATGAATAATTGAGTGGACACAGCTCGCAGACAAACTTGATGCTCACAATACTCATAGAGCCGTTTATGAGGAATGTGCTTCCAAAATGGCAGCAGGACAAAGTGACTAAGTGTCTCTCAGATGCTCCGTGTTCTTGGCTGTGGAGATTTCACTGGAGCTCCAAAACACGCTCACCAGGGAATACATTTAATTAGATCAGCAAGTGCAGCTAAATCTCCATTAGACCGCTCTGTCAAATACAAGTGTTCAGGACCATCGGGCGGGTAATTATTATCCGCCAAAATGGAAGTCTAAACTACGGTGTTATGAATATCATTTACTGTATTTTCTGCACTATGAGGCGCTCGGGATTATAAGGCGCACTGTCATTGAATGGTCTATTTTCTAGTCTTGGTCTTTTTTCACATATAAACCGCACTGGACTATATAAACGAAACACAGCAGTTAGATAAGTCAGTCAAACTTTATTTAATGCGTTCACAAACTTTGTTCAATTGTAACATGTAAAAAAATACTGTCTGAGACGCTAAATTGTTCGTGTATTCACAATAACTCATAATTGGTCAAACAGTTGGGCGATTACAGCGTCCAGCACGCCCGCATCCCTCTCGTCATTATCCGAGTCAGTGTGGTTACTGTTCCCTGGCAGTTCAGTGATGATTCCGATTTTGGTGAAAGCTCAGACCACGGTTGATACTGATCCTTAGCCCAGGCGTCCATGATCCATTGGCAGATCGTGGCGTAAGTCGCTCGGCGCCGTCTCCCTGTCTTGGTGAATGTGTGCTCACCTTCTTTCATCCACTGCTCCCACGCAGCTCACACTTTAACTTTGTAACCGCCTTGAGTTTAAAGTCGGCGTTGTAAGTGTGTCTCTTGATGGGTGCATTTTGATATTAAAAGGAATCACAGTATGTATTACTCCGCGATGCTCCTGAATACAGCAGCCTTAATGCTGCAAGTGGTGCGGCTTTGTAGTTTACTAAAGTCGTACTAAGACACCCCAATAAATTCATATATAATGCACTCTGGATTATAAGGCGTTTCAGTCGTTTTTTGATTAAATTAAAGGCTTTTAAGCATGCCCTATAGTGCGGAAAATATGGTATGTATTCATAAATATACACAGAAGAGAGAACAAGAAGCAATGTTGCATCATTATTCCATTCGTACTGGTTGTCTAGTTAATAGTAAGTTTGCAAACCTGGGTCCTAACAAAAACATTTGTAATACACTGGCTGTGATCCTAAACTAAAATGAACTGACCTGTGACAGAACCATGTCTAAAATACCAGTACCAGTGGTTTTCAGATTTAGATGTCATACTCTCAGATGGGGACCAGAGCAAGATTGACACAACTCAAGAAATCTCAAAATTACAACAAAACTTTATAATGCAGGGGTCTCCATCCTGTAGCTTGGGAGGTTCCAGTAGCTCTTTACCCCCTTCCAAGTAGCTCGCCAAGGGATTTCTGAATTCTATGTATTGCGGATAATAAGTAAAATTTGATTAATTACCATTGTAAATGTATTATTTTGAGGCCTATCTTGGTGCATCGATGAATGGTTTATGTTTAATAAGCATCTAACTGTTCCTTATCTAAGGCTCGCCGTGGCTCTTATATTTCCTGTTTCTTTGCTTTGGTAGCTCTCTTGCATTTTTGTTTTTGTAAAGGTAGCTCACTGGAGAAAAAAGGTTGGAGACCCCTGCTATAATTTATGAGACGGGTTTAGACCTGTGTGTTAATATTAATAGTAAATACTGCCCTACAAAGGTAAAAGATCTTGACTCGCCAGAGCGTGAAACTGAGAAAAATGAGTTCAGAGTTTCCAAGCTGTGGTTTCTTGTGTGGTTTCAGATGTTACGGTCGTCATACTTTCTCACTGAAACAATAAAATTTTCTCGCAATATTTATTCACATGTCAAAGGAGGTCTCAAATACCCCCCAAAATGACATTAACTCATTTTTGACCAAACACGATGTTACAGTGTTGTGCCTTTGCAGAGCAGAATAGTAATGGTTCATGTTTCAAAACTCCCCCTGACTACCACCAGTTCTTACACGTCATTAAGCTGCCCACTCACCTGAAGGGCTGTTCAGTCATGTCCTCAGTTCACCTTGCCTGTGGTTTGTGCTTGAGTGATGGTGGTGGTTGGAGGGGCTGATTGATTGGCAGCCTCGCCTCCGTCAGCCTGCCACAGACAGATGTGGCTGCATAAGTAGCTCACCACCAGCGCGGAGTGTGGAGAGAATGAACAATGACACAGTGTAGTGCAACAGGACTGAGCTTTACAAGTGTGATTCATCCTTATTATAACATTTTTATTGTTTTAACCCAAAGTTGTGCGTGTGTGAATTTGTGTGTGTATTTGTGTGTGTATTTGTGTGTGTATTCGTGTGTATATTTGTGTGTGTATCTTCATGCGTGTGTGAATTTGTGTGTATATTTGTGTGTATCTTCATGTGTGTGTATTTATGTGTGTGTATATTTGTGTGTGTATTTATGTGTGTATCTTCATGTGTGTGTATTTATGTATGTGCATTTGTGTGTGTATTTGTGTGTGTATTTATGTGTTTATATTTGTGTGTGTATTCGTGTGTATATTTGTGTGTGTATTTGTGTGTGTATTTGTTTGTGTATTTATGTGTCTATATCTTCATGTGTGTGTATTTATGTGTGTGTATTTATGTGTGTGTATATTTGTGTGTGTATTCATGTGTGTATATATTTGTGTGTGTATTTATGTGTGTATATTTGTGTGTGTATTCATGTGTGTATCTTCTTGTGTGTGTATTTATGTGTGTGTATTTGCGTGTATATTTGTGTGTGTATCTTCATGCGTGTGTATTCATGTGTGTGTATTCATGTGTGTGTATTTGTGTGTGTATTTGTGTGTATTTATGTGTGTATATATTTTGTGTGTGTGTATTCATGTGTGTGTATTCATGTGTGTATCTTCATGTGTGTGTATTTATGTGTGTATGTATTTGTGTGTGTATTATGTGTGTATATATTTGTGTGTGTATTCATGTGTGTATATATTTGTGTGTGTATTCATGTGTGTATATTCATGTGTGTATTTCATGTGTGTGTATTTGCGTGTATATTTGTGTGTATCTTCATGTGTGTGTATTCATGTGTGTGTATTTGTGTGTGTATTTATGTGTGTATTTGTATGTGTATTTTCATGTGTGTATCTTCATGTGTGTGTATTTGTGTGTGTGTATATTTGTGTGTATATTCATGTGTGTATCTTCATGTGTGTGTATTTATGTGTGTATTCGTGTGTATATTTGTGTGTATATCTTCATGTGTGTGTATTTGTGTGTGTATTTGTGTGTATATCTTCATGTGTATCTTCGTGTGTGTATTTGTGTGTGTATCTTCTTGTGTGTGTATTTATATGTGTATATCTTCGTGTGTGTATTTATATGTGTATATATTCATGTGTGTGTATTTATGTGTGTATTTGTGTGTGTATATTCATGTGTATATCTTCATGTGTGTGTATTTGTGTGTGTGTGTGTATTCATGTGTGTGTATTTATGTGTGTGTATTTGTGTGTGTATCTTCATGTGTGTATCTTCGTGTGTGTATTTATGTGTGTGTATTTGTGTGTGTATATATTCATGTGTGTATGTTCATGTGTGTGTATTTATATGTGTGTATTTGTGTGTGTATATTCATGTGTGTGTATTTCTGTGTGTGTGCAGTGCCTGGACGCGAGCCGGCCTTGGCTGTGCTTCTGGATCCTCCACAGTCTGGAGCTGCTGGAGGAGCCCATCCCCTCCACTGTGGCCTCTGAGTGAGTCACTCTTCATTCTCATGCACCACATCCAGGACCTAATGACACAAACAAAGGTGCACTTTGGATACAAGTTGTTGTTGAGAGCATCACAAAGTATATAGAAAAAGCAGGAGGAGGTAAGAAGGGGAGCAGGGTGTGGTAGAACAGACAGTATGGAGCCCACAGATAAGCAGAGAAAATACAACAGGTTTTCTCAGTAATAGAGGAGACTGGTGACCCCCCGTAGTCAGATTTTTGCCCCATAACAAAACAAACTGAGCGATACCTTTTGTGCTTGTATTGATCATCATCATTATTATCAGTAGCGTATCTTGAATTCATCTTTAATTTGTTTTTTATTAGTAGAGGTAAGTAATGTAATAATGTATATAAATGATAATGTAAGGTATATAAATAAAGTATTAAATTAGCTTTGCGTAATATGAACCTGTGAAAAACTGTACACTACAAACAGGCTGGATCTGAATTTGTGTATCGTTAATTCGTTTTTCAATATAAAACTAAAATAAGAAAATGACAAAACAACTATTTTCTTCATTATTTGGCTCGAAAACCAAAATGAAAAAACAGATAACGATTTGGTTTTTTCAGTTTTCGATTTTGTGTTTAAATGAATAATGGAAAAAAGAGATAAAGGCTGTTTCCAGTTTCCGTGACTTAAACTGCGATGCCGAACTTTAGCGCCGCATATGGACTGAACCAGGAATAAAACAGAACCAGGTCTGAAACCAGACCAGGACTGAGTCCAGGACCAGACTGGGACCAGAACTGAGACCTGAACTAGACCAGAACTGAGACCGGAACCAAACAGGGACCGAGACTGGGACTCAGACCGGGACCAGACCAGGACCAGACCATGATTGAGACCATGACTGAGACCGGGACCGAAACCAGGACTGAAACCGGGACTGAGACCGGAACCAGACCAGGACTGAGACCAGGACTGAGACCAGGATTGAGACCAGGATTGAGACCAGGACTGAGACCAGAACTGAGACCGGGATCAGACCGGGACTGAGACCAGGACTGAGACCGGGATTGAGACCGAGATTGAGATGGGGATTGAGACCGGGATTGAGATGGGGACTGAGACTGAGACTTAGACTGAGACTTAGACTGAGACTTAGACTGAGACCAGGACCAGACTAGGACTGAGACCTGAGCTGAGACCGGGACCAGACCAGAACTGAAAACAGTTTAGTCCTGGTTTAGTCTTGGTTCAGTCCTGGTTCAGTCCTGGTTCACTCCGACATCACAGTTTTAATCACAGAAACGAGAAACGGCCATTATCTGTTTTTTCCATTATTTATTTAAACCCAAAATCTGAAACTGAAAAAAAACGAATCAATATCCATTTTTTTCATTTTTGTTTTTAGAGACAAATAATGAAGAAAATAGTTGTTTTTTCGTTTTCTCATTTTTGGTTTTATATTGAAAAACAAATGAAAGAATAATACACAGATTGATCTGGCATAACTCAGAAAGCAGCATTGTTCATACTTCCAAGCTAAACGTACAAAACGAGACTTCCACAATGAGAGCGATATGTAAGTGCCCCAGATTTGAGTATTTTTTAACTGTATTAGCTCTCCTCATGTTTTTCCCATTCAGAGCTCTTTGTGATGTGGGTGCGGTGCTCTATAAATAAAAGATACAGATAGTGACTAGTGCAGAGGGTTCACAGTTGTGCTAAATGATAATAGATGATGACTTGCTCGGGCTGGATCTGAAGCTGCTCCAGAGGGAATAGTGTGAGGCCAGCTGCTGTATTTATCATGCACAGGCAGTACAATACAAGAGAGTACTGCCCACAGAGGAGAGCAGGGAAGACAAAGGTACTAAGAAGGTCCTTTTAAAATAACTATATGACTAGCATTGCAGTAAAAAGTCTTTTTGTGTGTACTTTACAGCGTGTTGCTTATTGATTCTAGGTTAGGTTTTGCTTGAAATCATATCTGTGATTTTTAATAATGTGACTTTCCTAGTTAAATATTAATGAAACTATATTAGAGCTGCTATCTGTAAGTCTATTTTATTGTTTTAACCAGTAGATGTCAGATGTGAAACCTGTCTAAACACTATAAGACAGCAGTAACATAGACAGCATCTAGTGGTGATATGTGAGAATACAACAGGGACAGGTCGGCCAGTCTAAATTTACCTGGAATGTTGCAGAATATGGCTTTAAAACAACAACAACATTTAAAAGGAAATACTTGCGGGTAAAAATTGCAAAATATTTTATCAGAATTGCCTTTTGTTTAAACGGTGACAGCGTTTTTAGGGCTTAAACCTACCACCTCGATACACAGGCCACGATACGATACATATCGCGATACAGTGCACTTTCGATTCTATATGATATATTTCAAATCAATTCGATACAGTTCAATAAAAAATAAAGGCTAAATCGTGGCTGTGATACTAAAAATCTTCGTTAAACCATGTCTTGTGCAAAGTTCATATGAAACACAAACATTTTAATCCTCAAAACAGTGTCAAAATGTCAAAATGTGTTTCATAAATGAGTTTCCTTTCACTCCACAAGCAACAAAACTGTAGCACTGTAACAAAATAATTTAGTAAAACAGATGTAAAAATACTCTTGGTGACATATCGATACAGTAGCCCACGATATCGATACTGTATCATCACATTAAACAATACAATATATCGATATTCCGATATTTTTGCACACCCCTACTGTCCAGAGTGGAAAAGTTGAATACGCTCTGCCGTAGCGTTTCTGTCCACACTGCCCAAGACTCAGAACTCTGGTCAGATCTGCTCACGTCGCATACGCATTTACGTCACATTCATCACCACCTGTTGTCACCACCGAGCCGCCTGGCATGCACACACAATCGAATTCCACACACTTTTGCGTCACCGTATGCACGCAGATTTCCTCTCGAAAACGCTCGTCTAAACGCAGAAAAAAAGTGAAGACACGGCGCCACTTTTGCGTCATCTGTTCAGACCGTCATCATATAAACATTGCTCTAGCCAACAGTTTTTCAATTCTCACCTTTTTTATTGAAAATCAAACACCTAAGCAAGACCATGAACGCTTGTACTGATCACAGCTCCTGAAAATGTGTAGTTTAAATCCATTTTGTATTTTCTTGACTTTTCACCATCTTAAAACTGATTTGACATTTGTTGACTTTGATGATTTGTTTGGTAATCTGTGCATAATGTCACCATGGTAACTGCTAGGGGTGTGAAAAATATCGAAATATCCATATGTTTTAAAAAATCAGGCATAGCCCCTTGAAAGGTGCACTGTGTAACTTTTCTGGCATGCAGAACACCTCCAGTATATGATGTCACTGTCCTCCCAAAATCCCTCAAATCTAAAAAGCATCATTAGCCTGAACACAGCGTCGCCAGAGCCTGTCACATTTTGAGTGAATCTCCGGCTCTGTGGACCAGGTGGCGTTTCGTTCTTCACTTGATTACATTCTCACCTTTCCAAACCAACAGTAGACTCATATCTGTGAAGCAGAGCAGCCCTGACAGACTGTGTGCCCACGCTCCCATTGTGAGCGCCAGCCGTGCCAACTCACCGGCTGGCACTGCCCCTCGGCACCGGCCAACAAACAGGGCCTGGCTCTTCAAATCTGTGTGGAACTATGTGACTCTGCCTGGTTTAGATAAGGAGAAGTCAAGGTTGAGAACAGAGCAACACCTTTGGTACAAACCTGTTTAGAGTTGGCACAATTTAAACATTTCTTACTGTATTTTGATTTTTAGGAATAGACTGGATACTCAATACCATTTCCACTCCACAATGATGACAAAAACACTTTATTTAGACAGTAGAATATGATTTTCCACATTAAATAATAGCACTTTTTTATGTCTGTGTAATCCCTTAGTGGGCGTATACTAGTCTGTGTACTCCAGATCATTTTAAAGCGAATTCAGAAAAGGTTCATTTTTGTCCTTTGAATGGGACTTTTAGTATCGATACTTGCTCAAATAAATATCTTGTTTCAATGCTAGTTTTATTATTCATGAAGTATCTGATTTTCGGTCATTTTGACAACCCAGTGAGACCCTATCAATATGAACATTTGAGTTTTGATGTAAAGGGGGCTAGAGATCCCAGTAGCTGATATGTCTGTTATATTTAGGGGGCATATTACGCCATTTTCTGATCTATTTGATAATGTTTTCTCATCAGAAAACAGACCTGGAGTTGTGTTTTATTTCATTCACACGTTTAAAACACAAACCCTGCATATTTAGTCTGAGTTTTTCTCTCAAACTGAAAACATTCTGTTCCAACTTGTGATGTCATGTGGTAATACAGGAAGCACTTCGCTATGTTTTTAAACTCCACACACCTTCACTAGAATCATTTGTTTAATTTCATCTCTGGAATTGCCAATCTCTACTGAACTAAAGTTAAAAGGAGCTGTTAAACTTGAAAACTACCTCTTCATGACATCACAAGGTGGAGCAGAGCATTTTGAACTTTGGAGGTGTAGACAGACTAACAATGAAGTATTACTCAAACATGTGTGAATGAAACAAACACAACTCCAGGTCTGTTTTTGATGAGGTAACAACATTATAACTAGGGCTGGGTATCAGTAAAGTTACCGATATGATACATGCTTCAATACATAGGCCACGATACGATACGTCGTGACTTGGACTCAAGTCAGACTTGAGTCACTATTTTTAGGACATGAGACTTTATAAAATGGAGTAAGACTTGGGATTTGACTTGAACTTTAAGGTCATTGACTTGGACTTGAGGCCCGTGACTTGAGAAGACTTGAGAATCACTTTTAAATCTGAATTCTTTCTGTTCTGACCGTAATGACTCACACTAAGATCTTGTCAAGACATTTAAAAAGGAAGTATTTACATTTCTACTGCTCTTTTATATACACTATAAATACTCATATATACATATACAATGATGAAGTACAATTTATCATATAAATTGCAAAAATCTAAGCTATATTTGGTACTTTTGTTACAAGACTTGAAATGACTTGAAGCTCAAAGCAGACGACTTGGACTTGACTTGGACTTATGGACCAGTGACAGTGCACTTTCATTCTGGTATATATTTCAAATCCATTTGATACAGTTCAATAAAAAATAAAGGCTAAATCATGGCTGTGTACCAAAAGTCTTGTGCAGTGAAAATGAAACACACCCACTTAAATCATCAAAACGGTGAAAATGTCAAATGTGTTGCATAAACGAGTTTCCTTCCGCTGAAAAAAGCAACAAAACTGTAGCTCTGTAACAAAATAACTGAGTAAAATATACCAAAAATTACTCATAGTGATATATCGATACAGCAGCCCATGATATCGATATCAGCACACCCCAATAATAACATGGTTTAAAGCTCACAAGTGTCAATTTTGTGTAATAATAATGCTTCACAGGACTCTGAAAGCTCACAGGTGGCACTTCTCTGCTCTGTCCTTAGTGTATGTCACTTCCTGTCCCGCTGTCAGTGTCCGAGCGGCGGTTTCTCTGGAGGTCCGGGTCAACACGCTCACCTGGCACCCACCTACGCTGCTGTCAACGCCCTGTGCATCATCGGGACAGACGAGGCCTACAACATCATAGACAGGTACCAGCACACTCAAATCAAACACTGGGGTTATGTAATGTCATGTCAGACTGTCCTTTTGTGTGTGTTCGCGAGCGCTCCGCCGCTGCTTTAAGACGTGCGGCTTATCGGTGAGGCAGCCATATTGCTTTTCATAAACCCCCTCACCTTCTGATATTGAAGATGTTATCACGAGGAGAAAAAACAGACACGTATCACTACACTTCAACCTCGCCTTCATGTTTTGGCAATAACAGTATTCAGGCTTTACAAATGTTTTTTCTGTCTAAAAAAAGTATAATTCTGAATATTGTATTAATGATTTACAGGCACGTTTAAAATTTTGGATTTGATACGGATAAATACCTTTTGATTGGATCGACAAGATAGATTAGATGGATAAAACTTGAACACTATTTGCAGTGAAAATCCTTTGTCTAGCCTGTATAATACTTTAAATACAACATGAAACACTTTCCTTAGTATAAATATCCTCAGATTAATAGAATAACTCTCACGATAACAAATTTTGAAGTTTGATATATTGCTAAAGAAAATATAGACGATAAACGATAATACTAAATGTCATTATACCCTTGACGCAATCACCCTAATGCAGGATTTGCCCCCCAAAATATCTTCTGTTTGTACAATATTAAAGAATGTGAGCCTCAGTAAAATAAATGAAACACTTAATGAGTCATAGAAGTTATTTATTCTACCCTCTACCCATCTTCCTTTTAAAAGAGCACACAAGAATGACAGAACACAGACAGACGGCCAGACAAAATAAAATAAAAGAACAAGCAAGCAACTGACAATAATCCAAAGTATAATAATCAACAGAAAGAATAAATATGTATGTCCTGTTAATCAATTTGTGGTGATCTGGCATTGAGTCAGGAATTTTCTCCAAATTCCTTCATGTCTCTGCTTTTTGTTCATTTGAATAACAGAAACCATTTCACAAAGCCACTGTTCAAACTTTGGGGGTGTGGTGGACTTCCATGTTAACAAAATAAGTTTTTTAGCCACCACCGTCCCAAGCTGCAGCGACCGCCAGACGAGTCCCAAATTGTCTGTCCAAATATGGCTAAACTATAATCAGGTTTAACCCCTTAAAGGCTGATTTTTTTTATACACTACTGTTCAAAAGTTTAGGGTCACCCAGACAATTTTGTGTTTTCCATGAAAAGTCACACTTTTATTTACCACCATGAGTTGTAAAATGAATAGAAAATATAATCAAGACATTGACAAGGTTAGAAATAATGATTTATATTTGAAATAATATTTTTTTTCCTTCCAACTTTGCTTTCGTCAAAGAATCCTCAATTTGCAGCAATTACAGCATTGCAGACCTTTGGTATTCTAACTGTTAATTTGTTGAGGTAATCTGGAGAAATTTCACCCCACGCTTCAAGAATCCCCTGCCACAATTTGGATTGGCTGGATGGGCACTTCTTGCGTACCATATGGTCAAGCTGCCCACTTCTCTTTCTACTCTGCTTAGAGCCTTTTGTGCTGTTCTCTGAAGGGAGTAGTTCACACCGTTGTAGGAAATCTTCAGTTTCTTGGCAATTTCCCGCATGGAATAGCCTTTACTTCTAAGACCAAGAATAGACTGTCGAGTTTCACATGAAAGTTCTCTTTTTCTGGCCATTTTGAGCGTTTAATTGACCCCACAAATGTGATGCTCCAGATACTCAACCTGCTCAAAGGAAGGTCAGTTTTATAGCTTCTCTAACCAGCTAAACTGTTTTCACCTGTTCTAACGTGATGCACAAATGTTTTCTAATCATCCTTTAGTCTTCTGATGCAATGATCAAACACATTGTACCATTAGAACACTGGAGTGACAGTTGCTTGAAATGGGCTTCTATACACCTATGGAGATATTGCAACAAAAACCAGACATTGCAGCTAGAATAGTCATTTATCACATTAGCAATGTATAGAGTTTATTTCTGATTAGTTTAAAGTTATCTTCATTGAAAAAAAACAGTGCTTTTCTTTCAAAAATAAGGACATTTCTAAGTGACCCTAAACTTTTGAACAGTAGTGTAGATGTATATAAAGAAATGTTTTGTGTGTGTTTTTGCCTTCAAGTAGATGGTAAATTAAGTTGAGATTATTACTTTGACTATAGTAAAAATATATATATATAAGGAATTTGGGTATGTTGCAAATTTGCGACAACTAGAAACAAGTGCTTCCAAATGTTCTTAGTAAGATCCTGCATATGCACTAACCAACATTGTAAGAATACAGCAGCTACCTCGGATTATATCTTGATCCAAATGTAGTAAATTGTAGACCAAAAAAGCAAAACCAAAACAGATGAGCGTGTGTTCCTTTGGCACAGGAACATCTATCACACTGGGAAGACACAGTTGGGAAAATTCTGTTCAATTTTGTTTTAAAACAGTGCAATCTGTGTACCACCTTGAACTGAATAAATCAGTATCGACTGTCAATGGAACAAGAATGAATTTGCACCAAGGCTTTTTCCCCGAATTTAGATCTTTAAACCCCATGCTTCCTACAAATGTTCTATGGAGACAGAAGTAGAGAAACAGTCCACAAATTGCGAGATGAGATGTTTAGGATCAGGTGAGAGCTGCAGCTTGTCATAAAATTTGGGAGAGGGTGGAATAGGTTCATAATGCTTGTATGTCTGTTTCATATAGTGTCGAATTTGGAATTTATCACGGACAAAAGAGGCAAACTGACCACTAATATACAAATCGGTCAGCTCTACAATACGCTTTCTCATTCATGTCACACACAGAATCATTAGGTAACTGATTCCCTGTTTTAATCTGTTGTAAAATGGGAATTCCTCGAGATATATTTTTTCTTAAAGGGCTCGTCTCATGGTAGATTCGAAAACAGAAACAAGCCCAAGACCCCCTTCATCTTTCTACTTCACCCTCTACAGTTCTAATCTTATTGTAGTTAAGGAGAAGTACGAAAAATTCCTTTCTAGTATCAAAAAATAAAAGAGAAAATTGTTCCATCTATCATGTATTGAACGAGAAGTCTATTGATACTTTGGAGCTGATGTCAACATTCCCTGAGGATGTGAGGCTAACTAAAGGCACTACTCTGTCTGAAGCTCTATTAAATTTTAGTTTGGGCTTACATAAAATTACAGCCAACAATTTTTTAGTCAGTCACTCTCACCTTTTTGTTGAAAATTCAATTCATCGAAACAGGACCGTGAACACTCGTATTGATCAGACTCCTAAAAATGTGCTGTTCAAGTCAATTTTTTTTTTTTTCTTGAGTTTTCAGGCTATCTTAAAACCTTTTTGGCAGTGTTTGCTAATATCTCCATGGGAACTGCCGAACATTCCAACACAGAAATAGATGTAGAATGCCCCAAGCATGTTTTGCTGCAAAATTTTAGTGTCGTGCATTAAAACTGTGAGATGAAACCTTGCATTTTTACATTGATTTTATGATTATTGACTACAGGACTGAACAACAGTGAAAACCTAAATTTACGCTACTTTCATATCAATACCAGTGAGTGCTTTGTTTTCTCATACATTTACATGTCTTGCCAGCTGAGTTACACAGATGGCGCTGTTCCCTTACCAATGCAGGTGGGAGAATAGCCCAAACTTTTTTGAAAGAACATTTTTGATAATGATCTTAGAAGACCAACTGAACTGCTCTGAAGTGACTCCATTTTGCTTCTAAAACTGATTATATCATTTTTTCCCATTATATTAAAACCTAAATCATCACAATTACTGATTATCCAAATAACCTCTTTAGATCTCACTGGAGAATCCCACACTTGAAAAAGTCTACAGAATTCTTACTGTTATTTTATGGTCTGTACAATATTGATCTATATCAGCCCCTGCTATCAGCACCATCAATACTTAACTTAATTGTTTTCTCTCTAATTATCTTAATCATAATTTACTCAAAATATATATACAAGCAATAGTATTAAGGATCCTTTATATTAAGTATAAAGGATTTTTTACATGCTGCTTTTGTTTTTATGATTTATGTAACACATAAATCATAAAAACAAAAGCAGATCAAACATGAAATACAGTGCAGCTCATGTACGAGAACTTTCAACACTACAGCATTTTCTAAAGCTTTAAAATAGGGGTTGTTCAATGGTCAAATATGTCAACATGTTTAACAACTGAGGGTGTGTTGGTTTAACTCTTGACTTTGAACTTGAAATCAACAGTCTGAAATGAATTGTGTGTATAGTGAGTTAGTGTGCTGGTGTTATGTCATTTTTTTGTGTGATTGTTGTTGTACTTTTCCTTGTCCTGTAGATGATTTTACATCAACCTGCCGATGGACTGAAGATGGAAATGAGCCACTCTGCTATAATCTTTACATAATTACATCTTAAATATTCATTAATATGTGCTGTCCCTTTACAAATAAATAAATAATAAATAAGAAAATGTTACAAAATGTTCATATATTGTATAAAGAGAAAAGGCGCTCTGTTCTCTCACAGTTTAAGTACACGAGGCTCAGGTGTCTGTGTGAACATGTTGAATGCACCGCTGTATATTACTGAATGTAAAGTCCTTAATGCTGTGCTTGTGTCTCTCCTCACCTCTTCGCTGTCTCTGTGTGTCCAGGGAAAAGCTCTTAGATTTCCTATGGTCAGTGAAGCAGCCAGATGGCTCATTTGTGATGCATATCGGAGGAGAGGTGGATGTCAGGTAAGAAGACACAACACGTACGCTATATACAAGTCTACAAATGTGTCCAAAGTTTATTTCAGTGTGTACACAACATACTAAGGAATTGGGGGTGGTAATGGTGAGTTTTATATTATGTATTTTTAAATAATTGTTATCATTTGCTTGTGATAGATCCTGCACCACTGTAGATGGACCAATCACAGGGCAGCGTTGTGGTTTAGGCAGCCAAATGAACCAAAACAAATACTGCAAATGTGTAGAACTCTTTTTCAGAGCTACACATTTTCAGTCTGGTGTTGGCTTTGTTGATATCTGTTGTATCTTGCGAAAATGAAAAACAAGCGCAGACACTGAAATCATTCTCACAGCACCTTTAGTGGTGTTAGAGCAGAATTCACAGCATCGGGGTGACAAACAGTAGCCAGGCTGGAGCCACCTAGTGGCATTTCTCTCCAGTGACTAGGTCTGGAATCGGAATACACTAGACGGTTTGCAAAAACGCCGGAAGTGCGAGTTCAGGCACCAGCCAATCAGCGAAGAGCCATACATTCTGTGTTGGCAACGATTCCCGAGATCGAGGATTTAAAGCCGGAACAAAGAGAATGTTTGGTGAATTTTATCAAGGGGAAAGACGTTATTGTCCTTCTTCCTACGGGATTTGGGAAAAATTTAATATACCAGTTACCATTACGTATGTCACGACCAAATAGCAGCGATTGGTTAAATGAAAAAAAGTACCTAGCTACCATTAAGCGAGCGGATTCTAATGCTGCGAGGTCAGACGGTTTGTATGAAGTGAAACCGTCTGATGAATCAGCCTAGACAAACAGTCAGCGAGTCTACAACAGAGCCGAGGTAACAGAGAAGTCTGAGTCTACACCAGCTTTGTATATAGGCCAATTATAAATCTTTTTAGCTGACGCATAAGTCTAGATTTTTTTTTTTAGCTGATACATAATAAAAAACATAAAAAATCACGGCGCACCTGCAGTTTGTATCATTCAAGGCCACTGAACTGAACATTTTGCTCTTTAACTGTATTAAACATTTAGTATGAAATGATTACGATGAGATTATTGTTCACAGCATCCAAATTCTGTTTACATCAAGAAGGGAAGTTTGAGCGAATTTCTAACTAGCTCACTCCACACGTTTTACTGCTTCACTTGAGATCATATGCACTGCTCCCCTGTGGGTTTCCTCTCTTTGAATATTTCATTTAAAACAAGACCTTGAGCTCTCTTTTTCGGTTTCAACAAAGAACAGAGAAACTTCTGAAACACTGGCATCAAATATTAGTAAAAGCAAAGTTTTATTTTTTATCTCTTCAAAAAAAATCCCAGAGAAGAGAAAAAAACTAAACAAATTGAGGGTATACTGTAATTAGCGCACAGACTAATTAATCTGTATTCTGTAGCTTGAGTCCTTGTGCTTGTTTTCAGCCTAGTTTATAATGAAAATAATTTGAGTGCACGTTGCATAAAGAGGTACTGGCTGGGGCAAAAAGCATAACAGATATAAAGAAGAGGGCTTCAAAGGGAGTAAAAATAAATGATTAAATAAAAATGAACATAGACTGGATTTGAAATGTGAATTCTGAATCATTTTTATGCTTTTTTTTTTTTTTTAGGAGTGCTTACTGTGCGGCAGCTGTAGCGTCGCTCACAAACATCATCACGCCAAAGCTGTTCGAGAACACGCCCAACTGGATACTCAGGTACACACTCATTTTAAATAAATATATATACATTAATACTACAAAATACTACAGAATACAGTGATCCAAATTGGTTCTAATGTTGTTTCCTCGTCAAAAACGTACCTGGAATTGTGCTTTCTTTCATTCTTACATGTTTAACGCACAAATCCTGCATATTTAGGCTTAATTCGCTTTATGAATGATTACATGGTTTTGTTGGATAGTACCAAACGTAAATATTTATCATAGTTTTACTCCAGTTAAGTGGCAGTTTGTGGGGAAAAAAAAGTTGAGAACAAAAGTACAAAAATGCAGGAAGTGGCAGTGAGTTCTAAAACACAATACCTGTACTTATGTCATCAAAAAAATTCCATTCCAAAATGCGGGGACAATTTACGATGCAAGGAGCATATTTTTCTGACACTTTAAAGATACCGTCTGTAAGTTTATTTGTTTATTGTTACCAGTAGATGGCAGATGTGAACCTTGTTAACTTTTTGGTTTCTTGGAATTACTGCATATTAAGGATGGGACCAGGCAAAATTTCCACAAGATGAGATATAAGATTGGGTCCACAAGAATGATTCAAGACAAGATTTTTACATAATTTCTAATATATAAATTTAATTGTTCAGTTTCCAATTTTGACCTCACAATTTTTTATAAATTTTATTTCAAGTTTCTTTCCATTCTTGTACTGCTTTTTGGAAAAGTAATAGATGTAACTCACAAACACTCTCACAACTAGGGGCGTGCATAAATATCGAAATATCGATATATCGTATCATTTAATGTGATGATGCAGTTTTGATATCGTGGGCTGCTGTATCGATATATCACCAAGAGTATTTTTTGGTATATTTTCTTAAACTATTTTGTTACAGTGCTACAGTTTTATTGCTTGTTTAGACAAAGGAAACTAATTTATTTGATATTTTCACCGTTTTGATGATTAAAATGTTTGTGTTTTTCATATTAACTTTCAAAAAAAAGTGGTTTAACAAAGACTTTTAGTATTACAACCATGAGTTAACCATTATTTTTTATTGAACCGTATCAAATCGATTTGAAATATATCATATTGAATCGAAAGTGCATTGTGTCGAGGTATCGTATTGGCAACTGAATGATACCTAGCCCTGCTCATGAGATAATTTTTCTTATGTGTGCACGATCTTGTGGCACTTTTGTCTCACGAGATCTTGTACCATTTCTACTATGTATGTCTTATTTGCTGCCAGTGTCCAAACAGGTACAAGTTATTATTCACTTCAAGGTTTTTAGTAAAATCTTAAATATAATGATGCTATCTATGTTTTACTGAAATAAGTAGTCATATTCACTTTACTCACATATTTATACTGTGTTTTTAAACTCCATAAACCTTCGCTAGAATCATTTGGATAATTTCAGCCCTGGAACTGCCAATCTCTTGAAAATTACCACTACAAGACATAAGGCTGCTTAATTACAGAAAAAAATCATAATTATTTTGATCAATATTGATGATTCAAACGATTATTTTTTAGTTACACGATGCATTTATCCAGCATTTCTCTCTCAAAAAAACCAACACTTTGTTATTGTTAATTTACGCAAACCTTTCAAATTGAAAATAAATACAGATTACAAGTATGACCCTTTAGAGCAGTTTTGCGATGTATAATATTGAACATGAAATAAGAAAAACAGTAAATAAAAAAATTAATAAAATAAACTGTATATCCAGCTGTTGTACAATAAAAAATAAAATAAATATACTTATTTATATAAAAATATCCCCAAATAAACTTTGCTAAGCATCATTTCAGCTCGATTATATGATTTTGGAGATTGTTTGACACACAAATCGAAATCGCGATCAAAATTCAATTAATTGCACAGCCTTAACATGACATCACAAGGTGGAACAGAGCATTTTGAGTGTTGGAGATGAAGACAGACTAATAACGCAGGTTCACTCAAACATATGAATGAAAAAAAACACAACTCCAGGTATGTTTTTAGGAGGTAACAACAGGACTTAAAGCTCACGAGAATCCATTTTGGTCCATCATATAGGACCTTTGAATAGTTCTGATTTTGTTTTGCAGGTGTCAAAACTGGGAGGGCGGGCTGAGCGGAGTGCCCGGTCTGGAGGCTCACGGGGGCTACACTTTCTGCGGCACGGCGGCCATGGTCATACTGGACAAGGAGCACATGCTGGACCTCAAGGCTCTGCTGGTAAACGGGCTCTCTACATAAGTGGACATGTTCATTGACAGAACACAAAGCTCATAAAAACTGTGTCTGGTCTGTGTCAATATTATAGACACAAGGACAGACTCTGTAAGATTTGTTCAAGCTTTGAGATCTGGTATTGTCCTTAAATTCAATAAAAATGAATGGACACAGATATTGATCTTCTGATAAAAAGTTTTAAAGGAGCCTTGTAAGTGCAGGCTTGGATTTTTAATTGATTTACTCGTACTTTAGTTTCAAATCAGACTATTTTTACTTAACAAGATCACAAGATGGATTTTGAGTAAGGTTGAAGAATTTGGGAAAAAATATCTAAAATTTCACATTTTTTCTGACATTTATTTCTTAAGAATTTGAATTTTTAGAATTGGAAACAGAATGAAATATGAACTGACAAACTAATGCAAGAATCACTTTTCAGACTACACGGTTAGGAGTTTTTTTGCAGAATATATTGATATTTGTTCAAGAAATGGAGGTACTTAAAAGATTAAAGCTAGGATTTGATTGTGATTTATCTTGCAAACTTAATTTTCAGAACGTTTAATAATAATACATTTTATAGAGACGTTGTAGTTTAGTTTTTAATACAGATAAACAAACTCCTCCAATGTACCAATTCACTATATGTCAATAATGATGTAACTGTCTGATCCTCGCTCTCAGGAAATGATTCATGGAAAACTACTTGAACACACTTTCGAAAAAACATAACTAGAAAATCTTCTTTTAAAGGTGCAAAGGTGTAACTTTTCTGGTGGAGATGTTATTGCTTTGTCTAGAAGGTTTCGCAGTGTGGCATTAAAACTTTCTATGTTCATGGAGACCAAACGAGACCAAGTTACAGGTTAGATCTGTGGAGAGGCGACCCCGCTCACAGTCAGAATGCCTGTTTTTCTAGGTACCGTATTTATCGGACTATAAAGCGCACCGGATTATAAAGAGCAATTTCAATAATGTTGAATTCTCTCGTCTATTTTCATACATAAAAGGCACCAGATTATAAGGCGCATTAAGAGAAACAAACGGACAACACTTGAGACTGATCCCTTAGCCCAGGTGTCCACGATCCATTGGCAGATCGTGATGTAATTCGCCCGGCGTTGCCTCCCTGTCTTGGTGAATGTGTATTATGAGTGTGAATATGGGTGGATAATTTAAGTTTGTTATTTTTATTTCCTACAAGGACGACTCAAATATACATTGAGTAATAAAGTGTTTATTGCAGCTTTGCACAGATTTGTTTACATTTTACAGAAACAAAACTTAAACCACATGGCTCATTTGCATAAACTGTAAGCTCTGAAAAAACTGCTTGCTCCTTGTGCGCTGACTCCTGACTACGGTGCCGTAATGCTCCGACAATCCATCAAGCGGTGCGGCTTTGTAGCTTACCGAAGTCGTACTAAAACATTTTGACAGATTTTTGAGCGCCGTGTACCACATAAAATCTGATCAAATCAAAATTAAAGAATTTGAAGTGACTTATAGTCCGAAAAATATGGTATTTTTGAAACCAACCGTAATTGAATAAATGTAAGTTAAAGCTGTTTAATGTCATACTGTGGAACATTCCAGGCATCGAAACAAGCAGGTGACAGACAAAAAAAAACAAAAAAATTACACCTCGCACTTTTGAACTTTACATTTTCACTTTCAAATTGACACACAAAACAAGTCAAACTAGTTCATTTAAAACTATTTCCTGTAGTTCAAAGTTGTCCCTCACATACAGTAGGCATTTTAAGCTTCCTAATTATGCACCACGTTGAGTTTATAAGTACTTTTCATAACTTTCAGAGGCCAGAGCAGAGCAGAACTACAACTAGCATGCTAACAGAGCTTTATAAGTAGCTGCAGACAGTACACACTGAACTTACTTTGACCTCAAGAGCTGCTTATACGATATATCCGAACTCGGGCAAGCCACATCTTGCTCAAATACATGCAAAAGAAATCGGGTACAGGCCCATTTTAAATCATTTTATATTTTCAGCAGTGAAATTTTCCAAATATAAAAGGCATTTTACAGCCCTCTTAGTGCACATTTGCCAGCACCAGTAAAATAATACAAGTGGAACACGTTAGATTTCCGTTATACTGGGACATTTATTAACTTTGATTTAACTTCCTGCTTAGTTTGTATATTTGTGAGCAGTAGGTGAAGCCTCAGTAACGTAACTGGGGCATTAGCGTAACTCATGTCAGAAAGGAACTGTAAGCACTGATCTACGAGTTCATAGATCAAGGGGTCATGGGCTAAACTTGAGCAGCAAAGGGGAGATGATGAGTAAAACACTATTCAATGCCACAGGGACAGCCCCAGTTTTGAACCCTGTGTCCCCTGTTCTAGCAGATTTATCCAAAACCAGTGATTTGTCCCAGTTTTATACAAGAAATGTCCCAGGTGTCCCTATTTTTGACCAATCTGATCCCTGCCAACAGCATAGAGAAACATAAATTGTCATTTGTTTAGACAAAATCAGGGTAGCCGCGGGGTCTTAAAAGTGTTCAAAAGGTCTTAAATTTCATGTTCCTAAATTAAGGCCTTAAAAATTCTTAAATTATGTTGTCCAAGTCTTATTTTTTTCACAAAGGTGTTAAATTTTAGCCTTTTTTTGTGTACTCAGCCGGGCTGCAGTGCGATGTTAACTGGAGAGAGGGACAAAAAAAAAAAACAACGTGAAATCATGTAACGTGAATGAACATCTAATTTGAACTATGCACAAACAATACTTTGGTTTCAGGCGCTGGCGGCAATGAGTAAACAATCAGTAGCGTGGAGGAAGACTTTGGATGGATCATGGGGAAGTGTTGGTTTAATCCACAGTTAGATTCTAGATATAATAGTTGGTTGCTCCATATTAGAACTGGATCTGGTGTTTTTCGCCTGCATAATGGGTGCGATGTTGGTCTTAATTTTCACTTAAATGGTCTTAAAACGTCTTAAATTTGGGATAGTCAAACCTCGGGATGCCCTGTGAAATACAGAAAAGCGGCTTAAAAATGGCCAAAACACAAAGAAAATGTGAACTATACTGACTGAGTGCATAACAGTTTTCCTTAATCATGCGCTCGATTCACAATTTTATTATTAACAACCAAACCCAAACCAGGGATTTTGGAGTTTTTATTTTGAAAATCTGGTCAGTCTAATTATGTCTTAACTCTAAATGTTCCCCCTATCACCCAAGTATCAATGTGGTAAAGGGGGAACGAAATCTAGTTGCAATTTCTCGGACGAGCATTGCAATTGTGATTAGAAACGCGATTTATGTTTTAGTTATAAGATTCTGTTCGTTTTGAAGTTTTGAAAGTGTCCAGAAGAACTGATGAAAAGACTGAAATCTGAACTGACAAACTAATACAAGAATCACATTTCAGAACATGTTTGTACAGATGTAAACTACAGGGTGAGCTGTTTTTACACAGAATAAAACTGGAGAGTTGTTTGTAGTGGGAATTATGGCGCTTCAAAAACTGCAGCATTTGCGAATTGCGAATCTGCGTCCGTTCTAATCCTAATTTCGATTTGATTTGCGATTAATCTCGCAGCCGTGTTGTGGTATGTGGTGGATTCGCAGTGCCAGGGACCTCAACAGACACTAAAAAAATTACTGGAATATACTGTAAAGCTTTATATGTCGTCTCTGGACATATATGCAGATCATTAAAAGAAAATAAAACTGAATCCACACGTAGGAGGTCAGAAACTCGGAGCAACAGGAGGACTTTGGTCAGTCCCAGTACCCCAGGGCAGCTGTGGCTATAGAATTAACTGATCACAAAGAGACAAGAGTATGGACAGAATGAACACATGAAACTATAATATGATTTTAAGTGTGTAGAAAAGTGAACTATAGACCTTGAAGAATGTAAACAAACACATTATTAATCACAGAATAGAGGAAACTGGAGGCAAAAGTGAAGCGAAATCTTGATTTTTAGGTTTTACTGGTCAAATACTTGCAGAAATACTGACTGCACAATACTTTTTCCATTTTTTTTTTACAGATTTATTACATACATTACCACAAATTGCAGTATTTGTAACGCGTAAAGGTGCATTGTGTATCTTTTCTTGTGGACGATCCGTTAAATGCTTTTCTCCAACGAGATGTTGTTGCTTTGTCTGGATTGTTTCACAGTGTGATATTAAACCTTTCTATCTTCATGGAGACCTAAACAAACACATTCTAAATTACAGAATGGAGGCAACTAGAGGCAAAAGTGAAGCGAAATCTTGATTTTTAGGTTTTACTAGTCAAATACTTGCAGAAATATTGACTGCACAATACTTTAAACCTAGAAGAATGTAAACAAACACTTTCTAAATTACAGAATGGAGGCAACTGGAGGCAAAAATAAAGTGGAATCCTGATTTTTAGGTTTTACTGGACAAATACTTACAGAAATATTGACTTTTCATTTTATTTACAGCTATATTACATACAGACGTTACGACAAACTACAGTATTTGTATGGTTTAAGGTGTAAATTGTGTAACTTTTCTGGTGGAAGGGTCCTTCAAATGCTTTTCTCCATGGAGATGTTGTTGCTTTGTCTGGATTGTTTCACAGTATGGCATTAAACCTTGGTAAATGTAAATAGTCACATTTTTATCCAGCGCTTTTCCACCTTCAAGGCACTCAAAGAGCTTTACATCAAGCAACCACTCACCCATTCACACACACACTCATACACCGGGGGCGAGGTAGGTTACGTGTCTTGCCCAAGGACACAACGACAGCATTCATCCGTGGGAGCTGGAATCACATCAGCCAACTTGTGGGTCAGTGGATCCGACCGCTCAACCAGTGATGTTTTATGTCTGGATTCAAACCCCCAACCTTCGGATCAGTGGACAAACGCTCTGCCAACTGAGCTACTGTCGCCCCAAACCTTTCTGTCGTCATGGAGACCAAACCAGACAACGTTACAGCTCAGATCTGTGGAGAGGCAACCCCGCTTACAGACAGAATTTGTGTTTTTCTAGGTATTTTTTTAGCTATAAAACCAGCTGTTATTGACTAAACGTAAAGTAGAGCTGTGTAATTAATGTCATATTGTGGAACATTCCAGGCAGTGCGATGACACATCCATAGAATCAAGCAGGTGATGGACTCTACAACCACAAAGTTACACAATGCACCTTTAAATCCAATGATGAGGCTAGAAAATTGTATATGCCGTATTTTTCAGACTATAAGTCGCTCAGGAGTATAAGTCACACCAGCCAAAAAATGGGTAATGAAGAAGAAAAAAACTAAGTCACACCGGACTATAAGTCGCACTTTTTGGGGAAATATATTTTATAAAATCAGTGACCAAGAACCGACATTTCATCTTGAAGGCAAGTTATAGTAACAACAATAGAACAGAGAACAACAGACTGAATAAGCGTTAATATGTTAACGTCACATATTAACAGTTATTCAGATAATTATAGCATAAACAACAGAACATTTAGTTTACCAAACTCACGATCTCACTCCAAATCAATAAATCCATTGAATTCTTCGTCCTCGGTGTCATTTCTGCGCAACCTCCAGGGGTAACCGGAGCACCGCTTCCTCTTCTGTGTCGCTGTCGTCAGACTCAGCATCAGTGCCAGTTAGAATTATTCCGGCCTTTCTGAATCCCGTCACGCTGGTTTCGGTGTCAGTGGAGTTCACGAAAGTTGCACTGTGGACCCGACCAGTTACGGTGTGCTTTCCGTCAGTCCCTCACAAGTTTCTCGCTCACTCCAAACTATCTTTCTGCCACTGGATTACTGTTTTTGGCTGCATATGTCGCTACTTGCAGCAGGACGGCGGCTCTTTCTGCAGGAGACATGTGCAGTAGAGCCAAGTGACAGTGGTACAGGAGTAACAGGAGCAGCAGATACTGACACACAAGCCTAGAGCACCCTCTTGTGGCTGTCAGTGTGAAAATTTTTATATATAAATCGCACTGGAGTATAAGTCGCAGGAAACACTCAAAACATGAAAAAAGTGCAACTTATAGTCCGAAAAATACAGTAATAGAAAGGCAAAGTTACTTCTACTCTGGAAATTCAAATTAGTAGCTTACGTTTTTTGTTTTTTTTTGTATTGTGATCTGGTGTCTGGTTAATATTTCAAAATGTTTCATGGTCAATTTAATTTTGAACATTCTGATGACATAGCGTATTAAAGTGTCTATAAAACTGCATGCATGGGTGTTATTATGAGTATTAACCTGATGTGTGTGTGTGTTTTTTGCAGCGGTGGGTGGTGAGCAGACAGATGCGCTTCGAGGGGGGATTCCAGGGCCGCTGCAACAAACTGGTGGACGGCTGTTACTCGTTCTGGCAGGCGGGGCTCCTCCCTCTGCTGCACCGGGCCTTCTGCAAAGAGGGTAACGATGACAACGACAACATTCAACACTCAAACATTCAAATTATAGTTCTATGGAAGGTAGTGTTCGATAAATGGTCCAAATAAAGGATGAGATAACGCTAGAATTTGGTTGTCATAATTTCAGATAAGGGGCAGAGTCCTAGATCCGTGTATCATTTGTTCATTCGTTTTAAGAAAATGAAAAGAAACAACTATTTTCTTCATTATTTGTCTCCAAAACCAAAATGAAAAAACGGATAATGATTTGTTTATCAGTTTTCGATTTTATGTTTAAATGAAGAATGGAAAAAAACGGATAACGGCCGTTTCTGTGACTTAAACTGCGATGCCGGACTGAACCAGGACTGAACCAGGACCAAAACAGGTCTAAACCAGGTCTAAACCAGGTCTAAACCAGATCTAAACCAGGTCTAAACCAGGTCAAAACTAGGTCTAAACTAGGTCTAAACCAGGACTGAACCAGGACTAAACCAGGACCAAAACAGGTCTAAACCAGGTCTAAACCAGGTCTAAACCAGGTCTAAACCAGGTCTAAACCAGGTCTAAACCAGGTCTAAACCAGGACCAAAACAGGTCTAAACCAGGTCTAAACCAGGTCTAAACCAGGTCTAAACCAGGTCAAAACTAGGTCAAAACTAGGTCTAAACCAGGAATGAACCAGGACTAAACCAGGACCAAAACAGGTCTAAACCAGGTCTAAACCAGGTCAAAACTAGGTCTAAACTAGGTCTAAACCAGGTCTAAACCAGGACTAAACCAGGACCAAAACAGGTCTAAACCAGGCCTAAACCAGGTCTAAACCAGGTCTAAACCAGGTCAAAACTAGGTCAAAACTAGGTCTAAACCAGGACTGAACCAGGACTAAACCAGGACCAAAACAGGTCTAAACCAGGTCTAAACCAGGTCAAAACTAGGTCTAAACTAGGTCTAAACTAGGTCTAAACCAGGACTAAACCAGGACCAAAACAGGTCTAAACCAGGCCTAAACCAGGTCTAAACCAGGTCTAAACCAGGTCTAAACCAGGTCAAAACTAGGTCTAAACTAGGTCTAAACCAGGACTGAACCAGGACTAAACCAGGACCAAAACAGGTCTAAACCAGGTCTAAACCAGGTCTAAACCAGGTCAAAACTAGGTCTAAACTAGGTCTAAACTAGGTCTAAACCAGGACTGAACCAGGAATAAACCGGCACTGGGATCACTCGACTAGACTGTCGGGTGATCAGGACTGAGACCGGGACCAGACCGGGACCAGAGCAGAACTGAGGCCAGGACTGAGACCGGGATCGGGACCGAGACCAGTTAAGTTCTGGTTAAGTTCTGATTTAGACCTGTTTTATTCCTGTTTAATACCTGTTTTAGTCTTGTTTTAGTCCTGTTTTAGTCCTGTATTATTCCTTTTTTAGTCCTGTTTTAGTCCTGTTTTAGTCCTGGTTTAGTCCTGGTTTAGTCCTAGTTTAGTCCTGGTTCAGACAAATAATAAAGAAAATTGTTGTTTTTTCATTTTCTTTTTTTTTTGGTTTTATTTTGAAAAGCAAATGAACGAATGATACACGGATTGTCCTATAGAACTCTGCACTGTTTTTGAAAGAAATGACCGAACTTATAAGCAACACGTTTAATTAACCTCATTATGTGTTCTGGATCTGCTCCACAAACCTCCCGTATTAAAATTAAGCCTTTTTACCTTTTTTTTATGTGGATAGACCCAGTAATTACAAATATAAACCATAAATCATGTCAAAAAAGTCTGCAATCTGAAAGTTTAAACAGCAAATTCCAGCATTTGTGCATTTGTTTGTTTATTTATATGGATCCCATTAGCTGAAAGCGATGCAATCAGCCAGTCATCCTGGGTTCATTGAAATAAACATTGTATTTCACTTATATAAATATAATTCCATCATTATCAGCAGTCATTAGAGTGCACAGTATTTCATTAAAACATAATCACATTACTTTGTTAATTAAACGTGTTCATTCATGTTTTATAGCTTGCGGTAAATTTAATGTAACCAATTTTTCCTTTATAATAGAAACTAGTGCATTCTTTGTTTTTCTAGTTGGATTAATGAGTGTTTAATAGCTGCTTTATATTGATAGGAACTTTATATTGTCGTTAAAAACAAAAGACATTTACTTTTAAGAACTTAAATGAAACCTATTGTGCTTGTGACTGCGGTATAACTAGAATCGATGGACATTTTAAATCGCAATATTCATCTAAAACGACTTAAGAAAATAAACATGGATAGTTCCAGATCGCTCTAATGAGACGCAGATTTTTTATTCATTTGTTCCAAAATGACTACACGGTGCTGCCGAATCAAACACGTATCAGAGATTTTAAAAATACATTTGGAGAACAAAGTAAATACAGAGCAGTGGGAGTGTGAAAACAGAGGTTTATGAAAATAGCGTCTTGGAAATAAGCTATTAAAGATTGCTGAAACATGCACAAATCAGTCTTAATACAACTTTGAGTGAGTAAATGGTGAGGGATGTAAGAATAACGGAAATATTGTATTATCGTATCATCAAAAGTCTCACAATAACATCGTGGGCTGTCACAATATATCGAATTACAAGTTCCTTTGCTTAAATTCATGGTTTTATGGTAGAAACAGTTAATAAACATCACGAACTACATATCCCATGATTCATTTCAGTGCAGACAACATGAAAAGATATGATTTTTACTTGAATTCTTGGGATTATGACGGAAATAATTCACACTAAAATCTTGTCAAGGTATTTTAAAAGCAAAAAAGTGTCCCATCTACATTTAAATTAGCCTCTCCAAAATATCGCAATAAATATCGTACCGTGAGATGCATATCGTGATAATATCGTACCATGAGATCTGGATATTGTTACATCTGTAGTAAATGGTGAGGGGAAACAATTATAAAACATGGTTAAAAACTCTGAAATGTGGATTTTGCATAATAGATCCTCTTCAAATGTTGTGATGTGTGAAGCACTTTTGTCCCTCCTCTTCAGTGTCCTCTGTGTGTTTGTTTGTTTGTTTGTTTGTGTTTAGGTGAGTCTGCGCTCAGTGAGCAGAGGTGGATGTTTGAGCAGCAGGCCCTGCAGGAGTACATCCTCCTGTGCTGCCAGAACCCCTCAGGAGGCCTGCTGGACAAGCCGGGCAAGTCAGTACCACTGTAACACTGGACCACTCTACCTCCAGAACCATCTGGACCCGCAGGCACACATGGAGAACAGGCACACCAGCGCGCACACACACTCTGGGCTCAGGGGAAATGCCTAGAGACGGCTTTTAACCAGGCAACATGATTTTCAAAATGGAATCAGCCCAACTTGAATACAGAATGAGCAATGACATCCATAGAAACAACCAAAAAGTTACATAATCCACCTTTAAATCCAATTATGAGGCTAGAAAATTGTATAAAACGTATTTTTCGGATTATAAATCGCTCCGGAGTATAAGTCGTACTTTTTGGGGAAATCTATTTTATAAATCAGAGACCAAGAACCGACATTTCATCTTGAAAGGCAAGTTATAGTAACAACAGTAGAACAGAGAACAACAGACTGAATAAGCGTTAATATATGTTAACGTCACATATTAACAGTTATTCAGATAATTATAGCATAAACAACAGAACATTTAGTTTACCAAACTCACGATCTCACTCCAAATCACTAAATCCATTGAATTCTTCGTCCTCGGTGTCACTTCTGCGCAACCTCCGGAGGTAAAATACAATACAGAATGCTTTGACTACCATATTTTTCAGACTATAATGCGCAATATCAATGATGTTGGATTCTCTCGTCTATTTTCATACGTAAATTGCACCGGATTATAAGGCGCATTAAGCGAAACAAACGAGACCCTTGAGACTGATCCTTTAACCCAGGCGTCCATGATCCATTGGCAGATCGTGGTGTAATCCGCCCGGCATTGCCTCCCTGTCTTGGTGAATGTGGATTATGAACGCGAATGTGGGTGGATAATTTAAGTTTGGATTTTTATTTCCTACGAGGACGACTCAAATATACATCGAGTAATAATGTGTTTAATGCAGCTTTGCGCACATTTGTTTACCTTTTACAGAAACAAAACTTAAAACCACATGACTAATTTGCATTTATTTATTTGAGACAGGGACAGCACACAATTTTTTGCATTAACCTTAACAGGAGAGATGCATTGTACATCAGGTTGTAGCATCAGTGCTAATTTCCACCTGTCGTCCTTGGACAGGTTCACTGATTGACTGTATTTAACTGACCTTGAATATCAACTGTTCTTGGAGACCTATGTAGCATGTTTTGGGTCGCATAAACTATAAGCGCTGAAAAAAACAGCTCGATTGCTCTTACTCCTCGAGGCTCCCGACTACAGTAGCCACAATGCTCCGACAGTCCATCAAGTGCTGCGGTTTCGTAGCTTACCAAAGTCGTACTAAAACATTTTGACACATTTTTGAGCGCCGTGCACCACATAAAATCGGTTTGAGGTCAGTAAGCACAACTAGAATTAATATATAAGGCGCACTGTCGATTTTTGAGAAAGTTAAAGGATTTTGAGTGCGCCTTATAGTCCGAAAAATACGGTAGTTTAGTTTACAGGTCAGAGAACAGATCCTGGCAAAACAGATGAGGTGGTTTGAGAGAAAGGTTAAAAAAAAAAAAGGCTGTATTTGTGAGCTGAAATGGACTGAGCTAAAATCTCCACAGCCCCAAATCAATGAAAACAGCAGGGTTGGTCAGTGGTATGAGGTGTGAGGTGTGAGGTCACCCATTAGGGGCAGGAACGATCATTCATTCACAACATGACTCAGGTGACAGTTCACACCTTAGGACAGTTGCACTTGCACTTGACTTGATTTAACAGGTATTTACTTACGTCAAACAACAAGGGTGTGTTAGTTTCAGCGTAGTTTGAACCTCCCTTCAGACAAATAAAAGGCAGTGACTTGCAGAACTCTGTCAGAACTGAAGAAGCCTCTTGGATGACTGAAATGCATTGACTGATTTGATGTTTTTAGGTGACACTTTTCTCATTTTCTGCAATATTATCGGCCATTGGGACTCGAAATTAAAAACACATCACACCCGCGTACAATTTAAAAATAAAATGGAAAAAATGTATTCATAAATTAAGAAATTATTTGGATTTATGGAAGAGAAGTTGTAGATAGATTTTGAATTTTAAGTACAGTACCGCTGAATTTCTCACTTTGGCATCTTGGATCTTTCCTGCAAATTTTTTTCACTGTGCGCTGAATTTTGACTTTTGAATTTGAAGGCTTGAAAATATTTGTGCTGAATATTTAAAAGCTGATTTTATATATATATTTAATTTTAATACTTGAAAATGTAATGTGTTAGATTAGAAAAGGGGTGGGATTAAATAAATTTTCTTCTTTCCACTACTTTTTGGGCCAATTTTTTTATTTTTGCTGTTGTTATTTCTGCTGTGATTTCATTAAAGGTTGTATAGAGGATTTTTTTAAGGGAAGAGAAATACAGCGACAGTCCTTGTGCGCATTCAGAATTACTGTTGAAGTTTCCTGTCTAGAAGTAATTCAGCGACTGACACGTCAGTTTTAGACCCTTCGTCTGCTTCGGTCGTGCCATCGCTGGACGAGATCTCCAAGAATCACCTCAGTTTGTCTTCGCTCTTTTTCTCCTTCTTCTCTTCTTCTTTCAGCGACCTCAAAAACTGACTTTCTTTTGCAGCGAACCGGTCGTGGATTCTCGTCCGCCGTCGCGACAAACTTTGTGCGAAATGCGAGGAAGCAACGTAACCACGTAATCCTCGTGCTCCGACAAGTCAGTTATACTAGGGAGTTTGATTGACAACCTAACAGCCAATAGAAAATGAGGGAGCCTCGTTTTCTATTGGCTGATGTTTATCTGGTCTCACTACGTCCACAGTTGATAGATTTTCATTCTTTTTTTTTTGGTCATCATAATTACAAAGCTGCTGCGTCTCTGTAATGATATTTTAATCTTTCACTGACAGTTTGAAACTAAAAAAAATCTTCCATACAACCTTTAATGTTACATGTTCCACTGTAAAAGAATGTACATTTCTTATTCGCCCAAAATAGATACATATATCATCAATGTACACTGAAAATTTCAGCAACTTAAATTCAGAATAAAAATACAAACACATTTTTTCAAAGTGAGAAATTCAACGGTGTTTAAAATTCAGAATCTGATTAAACAAATTATTTTCCTTACGAATCTGATAACTCCATAGTAGCCCAAATGTAATAAATCAACATGATTATTTGACATGTGAATTAAGTCAGTGTCAGATATTCCTATTTGTAATGCAGTCTACAGAAAACAAAAACAGATACATTATTTGTCAAACCAGATCATGTACATGTTTTCTTGTTAAAGGGACAGTCCAGAATTTTTGACATAGGGCCTCATTTCCTAGTGAGCCATACATTTGGTTAGCAGCTATTACATTATAATTAGTAGTACAAACAAAACTAGGGTGACAAACTAGTTATTGTTCCTGTTTTTTTCCTTCTTGTTAAATGATTGGTTCCATTGTTTTGTGCACAGAGCCAGAGACTTCTACCACACGTGTTACTGCCTGAGCGGACTGTCCATAGCACAGCACTTTGGGAACCTGCTGTCCCACCACGAGCTCATCCTGGGCAAAGAGGACAACAGACTGGTGAGGAGGCTCTTCTGTCATTAAAGGGCCCATGGTACACTATTTCAGACATGTCAAACTCAGGTCCGGGGGCTAAATTTGGCCCGCGATATAATTATATTTGGCCCGCGAGATCATATGAAACATGTGTTAGAGCTGCCCGCCGGCTACAGATAGACTATAGAGACATTATTTATTTAAAACTTTGTTATTTAGATTATGCTTGTTCTGAATTCAATGTTTAATCCAGGGGTGTCAAACTCATTTTGGTCTGGGGGCTGTATCCATCCTACTCTGATCCCAAAGGGGTTGGATCAGAAAACTCATGGCATATATACCCCAAAAATAGCAATAAATAAAAAAATGTGTGCAGAGAAACACAAATCTATTACAGAAATCTTTTTTAATTGATGAACTCTTTCTTTTACAAAATATTATATTATGAACAACCTGAAACTTTTAAGAAAATGCAATTTCAACACAATGTTTTAACATTAACTTGTATACAAATAGGAATAAGACCATTTTTATTGGAAAATCCTGCACTTGGCTCCACTTTTCTCATTTGTGACATTTTTCTGATGAGGGTGTCACGGTCAACAGTCAAAACGATCGTCCTTTAAGAGCGTTTGGAAAGAGACAAGTCTTCATTTGTGCTGCTCTGGTGGGAGGGGCCACGTACAGAGACGCTGGAGACGCTGCTGTGATAAACACCACAGAATATAAACAATATTTTAATAGAAAATATAATTAAAATATTTTAGTAGAAAAGCAGCCGAGGACCAGATTAAAGGTCTTGGAGGGCCGGATCTGGCCCCCGGGCCGTATGTTTGACACTTGTGGTTTAAGCAAAACTATTATTAAACATTTTTTAAAATAAGGAAAGGTTTAACATTACATATCTCAATCTTGAAATTTTTCAATAAATATTTAGTTTGGCCCACGACTTAGTCCCAGTTTTTAATTTTGGTCTCTGTGAATTTGAGTTTGACGCCTCTGTGCTACTTTCTGATCTATGTTATAATGTTTCTTCGTCACAAACAGACCTGGAGTTGTGTTTTGTTTCATTCACATGTTTAACACAAAAACCCTGCATATATAGGCTGAGTTCTTCACGCAAACAGAAAACACACACAAAAACACTAACTTGTGGTGTCATGTGATAATACAGGAAGTGCTCCATTGTGTTTTTAAACTCCATACACCTTCAGAACACCACAGAACCATTTGGTTAATTTTGGATCTGGAATTGCATAGCTCTACTAAACACATGATAAAAGGTGCTGTAGCTGCTGATTTGAAAACTACTGCTCCATGACATCATAAAGTGGAACAGAGCATTTTGAGTTTGGAGATGTAGACAGACTAATAATAAAGAATTACTCAAATGTCTGAATGAAACAAAACACAACTCCAGGTCTGTTTTTGAGGAGGTAACAACATTATAACACGTCTTAAACCTCACAAGAATCCGTTTTGCGTCACATAGGACCTTTAAGATCTATGTGAATTTTTAAAGTTCTTAATCTGACTTCATAATCCCACATAATCCAAAAACATGGATCTAGTTGTGCCATAGCAAATGCAGGTTTAGATTAGTGTTGGTAGTCTGCGGTTCAGTGTAGTGCCGGGTTATTAAACTAGATTTTCATGAATACCAGATGTTTTGAAGGAACGTGGAATGAACACAATTTGGGGTCACACAAAATATCCCCAACAACAACTGTTATATTTGATTATTTGTTTTAAGTGACCCTTTATTATTAGTCTGTCCACATCTCCAAACCTCAGAATGATCTGTTCCAACTTGTGATGTCAGGTGGTAGTTTTCATAGCGTCTACTTTTTACATTTTGTTCAGTAGAGATTGACAATTCCAGGTCTAAAATCATCCAAATGATTCTAGTGGTGTGTGGTGTTGTTTTGAGATTTTTTTTTTGGGGGGGGGGTCGCCTTGTCACGAGCTGCAGGTTCGTCCGCAATATTCAGTTGTGACTTATGACTCATCTGTGCTCACAAAAATAAAGACAAAGCACAGAAACAGACTGAGTGCTGCGTCTGAGCTGCTGTTGCGCTCTCCTCCTGCACCCGGACTGGAACTCGCTACAAAAACCCCAGACAGGTCCACCTACCTCACTAGAAATGTTGAAATGTTAAGCCGTGTTTTGTATAATTTCTAATCTTTTTGTAATTATTTTATTGACTATTTTGTTCCAGTATTATTGGTTCAATTGAATGTTGAAAAGAAAAAGAAATGGGCTACAGTTAATGTCCAAGTAGGCGACTTATGGATCCTTTTATTTTCTGGTTCAGTTACTGGTTTCCATTGTATAAAACTTGAGTAATACTAATTGTTCAGAGACACGATAAAATATCCTCATTAATGTTCAATAATGGTCAAATCCACCTTTATTTTGTGATTTGTGATGAATAATGTCTATTGACTTGGGTCGTGAAGGTTTGTGACTTTAAAAAAAAAAGTTTGGGAAACATTGGTTTATGGAGTTTAAGACGCAGAGGAGCACTTCCTGTATTACCACACGACATCACAACGTGGAACAGAGTGTTTTCTGTTTGAGAGAAGAACTCTAAGTCTAAATATGCAGGTTTGTGGGTTAAATGTGTGTGAATGAAAAAAACCAACAACTCCAGGTCTGTTTTTGACGAAGAAAATGGATCAGAAAATTGCGCAATATGAGTTATTTAGATGCAAACGTCTTTAACAACGTTGCTCTGTAAAATTGTCAATTCTGTACTGAACCAGCATCAAACTAGGACTAGACTCGTACCAACAGGGTCTGAACCAGGACTATACCAAGACTAAAGAATCAACTCAAGATTAAACCAGGTCTAAAGCCAAATTAAACAAGGACTAAACCAGGACTAAACCAGTAAACAAGAGGAATTCTATTTTACACGATCTTTTAATATACTTTAGTGATTTTATGTGACTAAAATCTACCAGTTGAAGTGTTTTGCTCTAAAGAAACTGTTTAAATGTGTAGAATTTTAGTTGCATCCATCAAAATCTGCAGCCACTGTTCCTATTGTCTCTTATTGTGCTCTTATAGTATTGTTTATCCACCTGGGACCCGAAGAAAAAAAAGTGTTTTGCAATATACATCTATATATATTTGTGATTTTCTCTCTGTTTGGAGGTAAATGAACACCTTAGCATTTAGATTTTGTTCATTTTATTTTTATTTGTAATTTTTTAACATGTCCTCAGTAATGGATGCCAAGGGGTATTTTGGTGTTAAATCCATGTGAAGTTAACAACCGAACAACTTTTTTGATGACAAACATCTCTGACAAGCTTCTGCAGTCGCCTCAAACAGTTTTTAGACTCCCTTTTAGTTTCTTTTTTGTCATATTGCAGCCACAAACTAACTCCTTTTCAGTTCATTTTTTATCCTGGTCTGATGTATTATTATTATTATTATTATTATTCACCTATGTCCATTATTTTGTGTGTATTAAACTTTTATTAACTTGATAGAACTATAGTGTAGTAGAGTGAGTGAGTTTTAATAGTTCCGACAGTGGGCAGTTGTGGTTTTTACAGTTAGGATATTGAGTGAGTGCGGTGAGTTCTTCCTGTTAAAGTTACTGTCAAATGCTCTTACAGTAAATCAAGAGCAGATCCGGATGTTGGTTAATATACTGTACTGTTTCCTGAATTCTGCGTTATGGTTTTATTGTGTCTGTGGGATATAATTTATAACCACATGTAGACGAGAGACCATTTCCCAGTTTTGTTCAATTCAATATTTATAACTAAGCAATTTAATAATAATAATAATCATAAGTACTGTCATCATGGTCAGATTTAGTTTAAATTATTTTTATTTTATTTTGTTCTGTGTTTTGTTGTGTTTTCTTTTCTTTTCTTCTTCTTCTTAATAATAATTAATTATTATTAATAATAATTATTTTATTTATTTATTGAATTTCCGTTTGCACTAATTTTGCTTGGTGTAACTAAACCAGGACTAACCCAGTACTAAACCATTATCGGTCCTGGTCTCGGTTCCGGTCTCGTCGGTCTCAGGTCTCCGGTCTCGTCCCGGTCTCAGGTCTCGGTCTCAGTCGGTCTCAGTCCGGTCTCAGTCCCGTCTCAATCACGGTCTCACGGTCTTCAGGTCCTGGTCTTAGTCAGGTCTGGTCTGGTCTGGTCCTGGTCCTGTCTGGTCTCAGTCCTGGTCGGTTTCAGTCCGGGACTCAGTCCTGTTCGAATGAATCGTTATCCGTTTTTTCATTTTGGTTTTGGAAACAAATAAAGAAGAAAATAGTAGTTTTTAAAATTTTCTTATTTTTGGTTTTATATTGAAAAACGAGTGAACAAATGACACAAGGATTATTTAGCCTTTGTTTTCCACCGAATCGCATCGAATTGATTTGAAATATATCGAATCATATTGAATCAAAAGTGCACTGTATCGAAAAGCGTATCGTCTCGTGCCCTATGTATCGAGGTATGTGTCATATCATCAACTTCTTAATGACACCCAGCCCTAGTTATAATGTCCTGCATATTAAGGCTGAGTTCTTCTCTAAAACTGAAAACACTCTGTTCCAACTTATGTAATATGAAATACAGGAAGTGCTCCACTGTGCTTTTAAACTCCATACACCTTCTCTAGAATGGGGTGGGGACCAATTATTAAAGAAATGTTAAATCTTTTGATTTGTGAAAGGAGCAGAGTTTATAAGATTTATTTTCTTCCTGTTCCTTTTGTTCATGCAGCAAAGACAAGACAAATAATGATAGAAATATGTATTTATGTTCATTTTCAGATTTTTTTTGTCCTGGAATTTCTAATCTCTACTGAACTAAAGGGTAAAATGTAGATGTTAACTTGAAAACCGGCGCTTCATAACATCACAAAGTTGAACAGATCATTTTGAGCTTTGGAGATGAGAAAAAAAACACAACTCCAGGTCTGTTTTTAAGGAGGAGTAAAATGAAAAGACGGCCTAAAACTCCTTCTAAATTTCTCATAATATAAGACCTTTAATACGCTTCTCTACATTTTGAAGGAACGATAAAAAAAAAAGCGCAATTTTTCAGTGTCATTGTCTCGTCCTATGTCATCTTTTCCTCTGCATTTCCACTCAACTCTGTATATTTAGCTTAGAATAAGGAATGCGTCATCTTATGTAATCGTTACACTAGAGGCCAGTAATACCAAAACCGCGGTCACACCCACACCTCCTTATATAATCAGAAAAACACTGAAAAAAACCCCAAAAACTTCTCTAAACCTATTTTTTGTTCCTCTCTTCTCTCCCCGTAGGCACCGACCCATCCAGTCTACAACATGTGCCCCGACAAGGTTGCCCAGGCGCTCCACTACTTTCTCAAACTACCCGTCCCGTCGGATAACAGACCGTCAGGCACCTCCCCCCCCTCCTCGTCCTCCCCTCCCTCCCCCCTCAGCCAGAGCAACCGGAGTCCTAGTGCCTGTGTACCGAACGGACTCCCTAGAGCGACCGCAAGCGGGGTCGGAGGCACGGAAATCAGGAAATCCCAACGGCTGGAGCTTCTGCGCGCTGGAGAAGTGGGCAGCTCGGATCGAAATGTCTCATGTTTTTTTTTGCTGCAGTCATGTCAAAAGTGTGTCCAAGGGTTTGATAATGAACCTAGCAAATAAAGCGCTTTAGTACTTTTTATTATGGCGTGGAGTTGGTTTTGTATTTGCATCCCTCATCAGTTTTTAAATAAGTGTTGAAATATTTCAGTTTGTGTTAACAAATCGCCAACACTGCAATTATTTAAAGGAACTCTGTCATATTTTTATTTTAAATGAATAAACATGGCCTATCTGTGTCCCCAGATATGAGGAAGACATTTAAATCAGATACAGCTAACAACTGTAAAGCTGATTTATTCTTAATTACAAAAACGTTGGGCATAATGGTCAAGTTGTTATGATTTCAGTTCAGTCAGAAAGCAGAAAGAGCCTCACGAGTCTCATTTGTTTTGCCATTTTTAGCTGAAATCCTAAACCTAAAATTCCTCTCTGATCTGAATCGTTAAACCCCAGCACCTGCAGACATCGTGCTGTTGCAGAATATGAGAATGAGAACAATTTGGATGTGTCGTCTGCAGGTTGAGACTCAAGCAACACAGGTTCAGTTATGACTAAGAGCTCAGACTACAGATGCTTTAAATAACTGTCACAATGTTCAGTTTGTGCTAACCGACTCGGCATAAACAAATGCGGTTATTTTAGCGGTTATTTAAATTCTGAGGCTTGAAAAATATGCAGAATCCTGTACATGTGCAAATGCGTTAAATGTTTGACTTTCATTTGTCACATTACTGCATTTTCCAGCTCACAGATTTACGAGTATGTGTCTGTTCATAGAATATAGTCGCTGCTGAGTACATGTTCTAGTATATTCTTCTCAAAAGACGTTCTGTTAAAGCTTGATAAGAAATAAAAAATATTGTGGGACATCATGGCCACACCTGATGCCTGTGGTGTAACAGAGCAGTGTCACATGCAGAGACATCAGAGCCCAGCCTCAGTCAGTGCATTGGAGTGAACCTCCAAAACGTCCATGATAAAGCAGCGGCCGATGACCATTTAACAGAGAGACCTTTCTGCAGAGCTGTGGGGTTACTCAGGACACATCCATGTGGGACAGCACCGCCCAATCTCTGGTGGAACCCTGTGGTTTTGAAGACATCCCATCATACATCTTTAAATATGTATTCAAATGGTGGACCAAGTGAATGAATGTTAAATACTTGAACCTACCGTATTTTCCGCACTATTAGGCGCTCTGGATTATAAGGCGCACTGTCATTAAATGGTCTATTTTTGAACTTTTTTCACAAATAAACCGCACTAGACTTTAAACGAAACAATAGTTGGATGGTTCAGTGGGACTTTGTTTGGCGCGTTCACGGTGACTCTGGGCTTTGTTCAGTTGTGGCGTGTAGGGAGGGTGCTGTCTGGGACGTGTTTGCAGTGACTCAGTTGTTCACTTGTGTCTAGAAGTGGCACATTGCACTCGCTTTTTCGGTTCGTTCCTCTGTTCCGTTCCTCGTCCGTGTGGAGTGATGAGTGTGGCTGTGGGTGTTTTTCGCTGCGCGGTCACTGTCTGCTCCGTGTGTGTTTGCGTGCGCTGTGGCTTTGTAGTTTACTGAAGTCGTGCTGGGACACCTGAGTGGAATCGTGCATAGGGCGCTCTGGATTGTGGGGTCGTTTTTTGATAGGGCTGGAGGTTTTTGAGTGCGCCCTATAGTGCGGAAAATACGGTACTAATCTCCATGGCACTATATACACATTTAGAACAAATGTGCTATATAATACTGTTACCAGAAACCTCAGCATTTTGATATTTTACACATTTGTTATATATTACCTGATATAATGTACATTCTGTTGATAAATGACTGGTTGTGAACACAGATTACAGGATAAAATAGTTTATTTTATAGTCTCATAGTAAAGGTAGGCCTCAACTTGCAAGACATTTGCTGGCAGTATGTACAACATACTTGTAATTTCCATGGAATGGACAAACAGAGACCTTTGACTCTACTGGTATCCTCCTAAATGCAAATCAAATCAAACAATATACATACACACACGTTTCCTAGACACTCAAAGGCTTCCTGTTTCCTCGGGGGGTTCACGGTGTAAAGCACAACACGGACAGGGACTCTGGGCTTCCTCAGACATTCATATACCTATTTTATACCGTACAAGAACTACAAGTGACAATCTGCATTTTCCCAGGACTTGTGAGGTACTACAAAATGCATAACATACTTTGGAACTCGAAAACATCCAATCAATGCTTTTAGAATATATAAAATGAGATGCCTTTTTTTTTTCAGCCACCTAAAGTCATTCACTACTTCAAGCTAATGGACGAAATACATTACAAGTTTAGGAATAAGCTCCTTCAACACATCAAATTTAAGAAATCAGATTTCTGTGTTCAATAAACCAGCGGGCCTGAGGTGGGGTCATCACTTATACATTAGTTTCACATTCTTTTAGTGGAAAAAAGCAAGCTACAAAGATATTTTTTTTCAAATTTAAAAAGGTAAACTTCAGGACGATCGATCTCGGTGTGTGTGTGTGTAAATTCTAAACAGATTTTTTTCATATCAAGAATAACAAAAATAATAAACACAAACAAAATAATAATAATAATAACATAGCAGTGCTTGGAGGAGTCCGCCTGGCGAGCCTTGTCCTCCCCTAAAAACAGCCCGGGAGGGGGGCTGGAGTCCTTGAAGTGTGAGCCAAGCTGCCTCTTTTTGGGGTTTTGAATCGTTAACGCTCAGAAAACCGAAAACGGGTTGGGGGTGTACAAAGAGAGGGTTAACCTGAAGCTTTCTAGATGTTTCTGTGGACCAACCCTCCTCTCCTTGTGATTGTGTGGTCTCCAGTTTGAAACAGCTCGGAGAGGAGAGACGGAAGGGTTGGTTTTGTTGTCGTAGGGACCTCTCCAGCCGGCAGCGCCCCCTATGGAGGTTCTGGGGATGTGTGTAGCCGCCCTTAGCTGGCCTCGGCACGCAGCTTCTTCCTGGTGGGTGGTTCTTCGTGCTCAGACTCGGAGCTGGAGTCGGAGCCCCCGTCGAAGGCGGATACAGCGCTGCCTTTGGGGTTTGTGTACAGGCTGCTGTCCGAGGAGTAGTTGGACTGGAGCTGTGTGGAGCCCTTCACCTTCTCCAGAGCGCGCACTGACAGAACAAAGAGGGACAGTCAGACACTTAAGACACATGTACCAAGGAAGGAAGCAGAGTGTAAATATCACAAGCAGGATGTGCCTTTTTTGAACATGAGAGTGTGGATGCCCTAGTCTGATTCATCAGCCAGTTTCACTTTGTGGAAACTGTCTGACCTCACAGCATTAGGATTTGTTCGCTCAACAGTAGGTGGGTACTTTTTTATTCAACCAATTACTGCCATTTGGTCGTGATGTATGTAATGCACCAAATCCCATAGGAAGAAGGGCAATAATGTCTTTCCCCTGGATAAAATTCACTAAACATTCTCTTTGTTCCGGCTTTAAATCCTCAATCTCAGAGAATGTCTGTCTTCGTCTGCATCCATCTTGACCGCTTTGTTTACTGTTGAACTGTACCACAAAAGGGACCCAGACAGGCACTTGATTTTGACATCATGGCTTCACAAACTCTTCACTGATTGGCTGGTGCGCGGTCTACAACTTCCTGGGTTCTTGCAAACTGTCTAGTGTGTTCTGATTCCTGACCTAGTCGCTGAAGAGAAACAAAATTGAGCGGAGGCACTAGGTGGCACCAGTCTGGCTATGGATGCACTGCACACAGTTTAAAGTTTACAAAATATGTGAAGTTCTGACTGTATTTGACTAAGTTTGCATGTATGAAAAAAGGCTTGTGTACACAGAACGTGGTGAGTGGCAAGCCCCGCTCAGAATCCCATTCCTGTGCATAGGCTCTATTCACACTTACGTCACAAACCAGGAAGACATTTGGAAAGATGCGATTACAACTTCTGTTCTGGAAAAAATTAGCAAATGGCCAAGTTTTCTTTGTATGTCATTGTAGCGTTCTCTTATGTTCGACTAATCTGATCACATTTACTTCAGTGGGTTTTATCAGAGTCGGTCGGCGAAATCCAGTGTCTCTAACTACACCGGAAGTTGTCATTGCATCTTTTCAAACGTTTTTCTTTTCAAAGTAAATGCAGGGAAGTAGAGAGGGTTTGACAAAGGGCTCAGTTGTCCCAGGTTTTAGAGGCCCAGAATTTGACCCTCTTCCTATTAAATTAAAATGGAGGGGCCCATGTGAGGCTTCTTGCTCCGAGCCCCAAATTTCTATCGACAGGCTTGAGGAAATGTTTCTGTTTCCTGGAGCTTTTTGGTTAAAACAGTGCGAAGGACGGGCACAGCACCATCGGGCAATGTCCCTGTCAAACATGACTGAATAATGGAGCTTATTTACACAGAATACTCCACTTACTCCAGCTTATTACTGTCCTTCCTCAGTGGAATGACAATGAGACTTATTTGATTGTTTTTTAATATCTATTGTGAGTGGATAACGGTGAGTATGTTGTGGTAAGGAGGTGTTGGGTGCAGTACCTTGTTGCTCCAGCAGGGCGTTCTGGCGTTTGAGGTCATCGATGTCCTGCTGGTGTGTGTGGTTTTTCCGCCTCATGTACTGGATGTACTCTGTGGCTTTGTCTAAGATCTGAGCTCGAGACGCCTGGGGGATACACACCACATGTTGGCAAAGTTTATCGCACCCATACTGTTCACAATGACAAAAAAGAGGAAATGATTATTCTGTTATCAATTATCCACATATTTGAACCACAGACATGGTGGACTGAGGGAGTGTGACTTCACCCACACTGTTTAGCTGAAACCAAATGAAGCCAATCGAGGTTAGCAGTTATGGCAGCTAAACTGGAACCAGCGACTACACTTGCACATTTGGCGTGACCTCGGGGAGAGAACGCGACTGACTGGTCTGTTATTAATGTTGATTTACAGACAAAATAGTTAAAGAAGCCAAGGATCCTGTAGCGAGAGAGGTTGTTTCTATTAAACTTGTTCCTAAGTATATGTTTCTAGTTCCTGGAGCTTTTTGGTTTAAACAACGATGAACACGCAGCCCACAGGTGAAGGAGACGGAGCTGTGAGCGCTGCTGTGTGGATGTTTCACCGTCACTGAACAGAACAAACTGCATCACACTGTCATTGGACCAGGACACTTCACAAGACTTTCTCTGAACACGAGGTGGGTAACCACCACTTCTACTTTAATTTCACAGATTGTGCTTTATCAGCCGCAGCGTCTTAAGGACAATTTATGGTCCAGCGTCAAATAGTCTACGTTGACGTGAACCTCAGAGCGTCTGTGTCGACCAAAGTGCACCTCCGACTACGCGTTGAAACGACGCAGACAATAAGGGCTGTGATTGGTTGCCTCTACCACCGCTCTACATACATTTCCTGTACTCCGCTTTCCTTTCATTATACACTGAGTAATAATGTGTTTAATGCAGCTTTACGCATATTTGTTTACATTTTACAGAAATGAAACTTAGAACCACATGGCCAATTTGCATAAACTAAGTGCTCAGAAAACAGCTCGCTCCTTATGCCCTGACACAGTTCAACTTTTGTCGCACTTAAAAAGGACACGTCTCAGTGGAATATGAGTGTTCTCTCTGTGACAGAGGGTTGTTCCCTGTTAAACTTTTCAGAGATTATACATCTACATACGCATAGACCGTATATATGAATGGACATATATTCTAGTCTCTTAGCGTTGTGGTGGTGAATTACTTCGCGGTGCTTGGACCTTAATGCAGATCCGTAAATCAGCATCGACAGCAACAAGGCGTCAGTGGCAGTGTGGATTGAGTCGACGCAGAACTATGCTTAACCTTTTATGTATGTCGATTAGCAACAACTAGGGATCAACTATCAGCACTGCATGCGCCTAAAGCAGACTTGGGCATTCTGTGGTCCTTGACCTGTTTTAACCCGGCCCCCACCAGTTTTGGAGAAGCGCAGTAATGGCTTACAGCAGAATATATTTCAAAATTTGCTCATGAGCATTTGTTACAGCAATGATGACACTGGTTCAGCCTCTTTCCCCCATGCTTGGATTGAAATATGGCCCTCTGGGAAAACAAATTCCCTCCACCCTGCTTTAAAGGGTGGGCCGCCTGGGCTCAGTACTCTGACTCAGTGAACATGTACTACTGGTGGTACATGAGGTTCTCTGCAGGTCTAGTATTTGGTTTCATGTTTAGTCAGTTATTACGATCCTGTTTTTGTCCTCCTTTGATTTTGTCCTTGTTTAGAGCTAAAGTCATACTGTAGTCCTTATTTTAGACCTGATTAAACCCTGGTTTAAACCTGGTAAACCTTGTATTTGGTGTTACTCAAAATGTTCTTAGGTGGTACTTTGTGCAAAAACTTTGACAACCACTACTCTAGGTAACAAACGACTCTACTCTCCTGCTCTTTTAAGAGCCACTTTATTCCTACTGCATCATTGAGCAAAACTGCAGCCTTCAGTCTGGTCCAAGTCCACAAACCATGTCAGCTGATGGAGCCAGAGACTTGTCACTATTTATTTGAATATGTCACATGGCATCAATAAAAAATAAAATACATGATTAGTCAAAATATGGACACACTTAAATGTTTCCATGATTATTTTCGTGATAAATTCTAACTGCAGGGATTAAAACTATGAATGAACACACTTGGAATGTAGTAAACAAAAAAATAAACTCAGAATAACTCTAAACTTTTTAAAACTTTTCCCTGAGAGTGAAGTGAAAAACATTTCAGGAGACTGCTGCATATCTATCTAAAAATGTACAAAGTAGTAAAGGAAAATAAACATTGAATAAGAAGGTGTGTCCAAACAATCAAATTGTAGTGTATATAAAAAGTACTATTGTGATTAATGGGTATTTTGCCTGATGCCACACACACACACACACACACACACACACACACACACACACACAGACACACACACAGACACACAGACACACAACAGTGTGGTCGGGTACCCACCTTCTCGCCCTGCAGCGCGGGCACAGAGTCGCGCAGGCTGTGGAAGCTGTCCTTGATGTGGTCCCTGCGTTTGCGCTCCAGTGCATTGTGGTGTGCCCGTTTGTCTGCCTGTAACACACACACACAGTCACAGCTTCAGAACGGGAGAGACACACACGCGAACGGCCAACACCCGGGAAAACTGTGCGTCTGGAGAAAGTCAATTGGCCATTCAGTTAAACGCGTCTACAGTCACTGAAATGTAGCGCTGAAAGATTTGTGAAAAATATCAAATTTTGATTTCTATGACAAACATCACGATTACATTTGCAGTTTATGCCGGGCGTACACTGTGCAATATTTTCAATCGTTTCACTCAGCTCCAGCTCAAACTGTACGACCAAATCACAGGGTTTAAAAGTTCACAGCTCACGATTCATGTTCTCACACTATCCGATCCGATGCTGGTATGTGAGAGGCGGCTGATTTCAAACAGGTTTGATATTCTTGCGACCTATGATTGCCGTTTGGGAGGTGGTTGTGAGGTATTAATCTGTTCTCGTTACCCCATGTTTACTACACGAAGCACGACGCACGATTAAGGCAAAACTCAGTCCGATCCTAAAAACATTCGCACAAGTGAAAAATCGTCTCAAAAGGGCCAAAAATTGCACAGTGTACGCACAGCTTTAGGTTTTAATCACAGGATTCTGTTCAAAATTCACATTTTAAACATGTCCAGAAGAACTGGTGGAAAATAACTAATACAATAATCACATTTCAGAACATTCGCACAAACCTACACTACAGGTTTCAGTAGTTTTAAGACTATATCAATTCATGTAGCGATTTCGATTTGCTTATGATTCATCTTGGAGCTCGATTAAAATGCTGTATCCAAAATTAAGGTTACTGAATTCAGTCAACAACCTTTGTCATTGTAGGTTTAGTTTACGTTTTGTGTAGAGTGACCAGATGTCCCTAGTTTTGACCCTGTGTCCTCTGTCCCAGCAGATTTATTGAAAACCATTGATTTGTCCCAGTTTATACAAGAAATGTCCCAGATGTCCCTATTTTTGACCAATCTGACCCTTGCCAACAGTAAAAAGAGGCATAAATTGTAATTTGTTTAGGTAAAATACAGAAACGCTGCTTAAAAATGACAAAAACATCAAGAAAATGTGACTATACTGACTCAAATTTGTGCCGAGTTCATACAAATTTTTCTTCATTATACACTTGTTTCTCGATTTTATTATTACCAACACTTCAAACCAGGGATGATCCAGTTTTTTATTGTGAAAATCTGGTCACTCTTTAACTTCCAAAGATAGTGGAAGTGTATAATGTTTTACTGTAGACAAAATCTGTAATAGTTAGAAGAGTTTAAAGTGTCAATACTCAGGCCGGTCACGTCTCACGTCATAACATTTCCTAGTAGTACAAAGAAAAAGTATCCATGATCAGTGTTGGGGAGTAACAGATTACATGTACCAGAGTTACGTAATCAGAGTACAAATTATGAGTAACTGTATTCAGTTACAATTACTGTTTCAGTGAGTGGTAATTGGATTACAGTTACTTTGTTGAAATAAATGGATTACACAGCGGTATTTTCCTGTTTTCACATTTTGGGCTATATCCCCCTTTTTTTTTTTAGGTAATTCCACTGATTGCCGGACACTAAACCAGAACTAAATCAGGATCGAACCAGGACTGAACCCAGGTCTAAACCAGGACAAAAATCAGGTCTAAACTAGATCTAAACCAGGTCTAAATTAGATCTAAACCAGGTCTAAATTAGATCTAAACTGGGGCTGAAACCAGGTCTAAACTAGATCTAAACCAGGCATAAACTAGATCTAAACCAGGTCAAAATTTGATCTAAACTGGGGCTGAAACAGGTCTAAACTAGATCTAAACCAGGTCTAAATTTGATCTAAACTGGGGCTGAAATCAGGTCTAAACTAGATCTAAACCAGGGCTAAAACCAGGTCTAAATTAGATCTAAACTGGGGCTGAAACCAGGTCTAAACTAGATCTAAACCAGGACTAAAACAAGATTTAACAGGACTAAACCAGGCCGCACGGACCGTGTCTCCTCGTCTTCTATCAATAATATTTTTAATACGGTTAAGGAAAAACTGTGCTTTTTATTGTCTTTTAGCAGACAAAACATCTTATGTGAAGATTTCTGAGTCTTTGCTTCTCTACAGAAAATCAAGTCATCCAAAGTATTCAGATTACATTACTCACTTTAAGTAATTTAATGGAAAATTTAATTTTGGGGTATGTAATCTGTAATCTGTAGGGGAATACATTTTAAAAATAACCTTCCCAACACTGTCCATGATAAATATTCACTACCAAACATTATTCTCCCATCTATGTATTGAATCATTCGTCGATATAGGATTTATCGTGACAGGTTTATCAACACACGCTCTTATTTAAAGCCGCTTTTGCGCTGCTGTAGTCGTGTCGTGTAGAGTTTGATGTGAGGTTTGGAGTCTGGCAAACGTGTGGCTGTGACCAATTCGACGCTTTAGTAGCTAATGAGGGGAGCTAATTCTCCAGCCTCCGAGTCAAATTGTGATTTCTGTCATTCTTATCTCGGGTTACAAATTGACTTGGCAGCTTTGGCACGGGTGTTGAGTCTAATCTTGTGTCTTGTTTTGATAGTGAATTCCCACCGCTGTAAGAACGAGGTTACGATGACTCTGGCACGCGGATATTAGGACTGATTCATTTTAAGCGGCTGCACGATTTTTTTCCCCCGTGTCGTTGGGCAAAATGTGTCGTCTGTTTTTAATTATAAAGCGTTTTATTGTCAGAACCAGGAAATGCAGTGTGAAAATAAAAAGGTTCTCTCATTGTGGTTTAATTTGTTCGATCATAAACGATAATATTAACAAAGGCACAAAAGTTTATTATTAGTTTGTACGACCATAAACAAAAAAAAAAAAAAATCCTTACATTCTTTCATTCTTATTGTGGTTTATTTTCTATGATCATAAACCATAAAATTTTGTGCCTTCATTAACATTATTATTAGTTTCTACGACAATAAACGAAAACAAAAAAAATCCTTACACTTTTTCATTCTCATTGTGGTTTATTTTCTGATCATAAACGATAAACTTTTGTGTCTTAGTTAACATTAGTATTAGTTTGTACCACCATAAATGTAAACAAACAAAAAAAAAAATTCACTTTTTCATCTTCATTATGGTTTATTTTCTACGATCATAAACGATAAAATTTTGTGCCGTTGTTTACATTAGTATTAGTTTGTACGACCCTAAACGAAAACAAAAAATCCTTGCATTCTTTCATTCTCTTTGTGTTTTATTTTCTACGATCATAAACCATAAAATTTTGTGCCTTCTTTAACATTATTATTAGTTTCTACAACAATAAACGATAACAAAAAAATCCTTACACATTTTCAACCTATTTGTGGTTTATTTTATACAATTCAAAATGATAAACTTTTGTGCCTTCGTTAACATTATTATTAGTTTGTACGACCATAAACAAAAACTAAAAAATATCCTTACATTCTTTCATTCTTATTATGGTTTATTTTGTACGAACATAAACCATACAGTTTTGTGCATTCGTTAACATTATTATGAGTTTCTACGACAAACAAACAAAACAAAAAAAAATCCTTACACATTTTCATTTTCTTTGTGGTTTATTTTGTACGATCATAAACCATAAAGTTTTGCGCCTTTGTTAAAATTTGTATTAGTTTGTACGACCATAAACGAAAAAAACTAATAAAAAACTGGCATCTTAAAAAAAAAAGAAGAACTAAGAAAAAAGTGATTGTATTTCTATTAGAGTGGTTAATACATGGAAAAATCTGAGTGATTTATTTATTTATTACACTGTAGAAGCCCTTAAAAAAAATGTATAAAGCGTTATGTTTTGAAAGATATAAAGCTCTGGATGATGAATGAATTATGCATTACATTTTGTTTGTTTTAATTTATATTTTTTTTATTAATAAAATAAAGTCTGTTTGTTTTTTATTTGACATATAAATATACGTTCTAACAATGTAATTAATCATGACGTCCCTGCAAAGAAATGCTCCCCAGCCCATCATTAGTCACATTTTAACGTCAATCTGTAACCACAACATCACACTGCAACATGGTCACCGCCGCAGGTCACATGGTTCAAAACACAGCAGGAAATCTACAGGTTCTTAGGCCAAACCAGTGAAGGCTTCAGTCAATGAGATCCCATCGACTCTAATCCACGTATTCAGAGCCACGGAGACGTCAGCTCGGTCTGATCTGATCTCTGGGTGAGCATGCGGCTGAGGCTTCACCCGAAGCACTCACTGTAAGTCACATGATCATGTGACCTCCAATGACAGGTCAAAACAAGCAGAGCACAATACACGCAGAAGGGCTTAAAAGGAGGAAGTAGGTCTAGATGTATTTAAGCTCACAATTAAATGCATCGGCATGAGCTGCAAAAATCGTAATGAAAATGCAAAAAAAAGGCAGTAACTGTGTATGTTAAGAGTAAATTTTGAGCTCAATATTTTTCACAATATTTATTCACATGATAAAGAAGGTTTCAAATAACCCCCAAAATGACATGAACTCATTTATGACCAAACATGTCACGGCGTTCTGCCTTTGTAGAGCAAAACTAGTTTCACAACGGATGAATTTAATCACTACGAATGATTGATGTGCACTGCATTTTTTACATATAGCTAAAAGATTTATTGTAACTGAATCAAAGTCACTATTTCCAAGGTCTCAAGAAGCAAATGATGCAATTCTACAGGTGATGTCTTCTAAAAAAAACACTGTATATAGAGTTTAGGCCTCTTCAAAGATGTTTTGAAATGTTTGTAATTCTAGTATTTGTCTAAAAGTTCATATTTGAGACTTGACTAGCACTGTTAAAAATGTGCACTAAACTGAAAATGTATTGTTTCCATATACATTCCATATCCAGCCATTAAATTGTACTTTTTATATTTAAATTTTTCAGTATTTTCAGTCCTACTTTGAGCATGAGGCAAGATTGAAACTGACGACACCAAAACTGAAACTATTACAAGTATTAGACCAGATCACGCAATACTTCTGAGAAAA